GATCGATTTCGTATAGAATTTGACAGTACAGAATCTATCAGTTTTACGTACCTAATCCTCACGTCATATACATACATACAAGCAAAAAACATTGTTATAGTGATGTCGAAAATTACAAAAAAGGAAGAATGCGAAAACAAAAGTGAAAAATATGTGAGATGAAGCTTTAAAACAACAAGCTTACAAATAGTCATGTATGTAGTCTACCTGCGTAACTTGTTCCTATTTCTAAGTAACAAGTGAAGAAGTGTGAGTGAATGCACTCATTACGAGTATAGTGTTACAACATAGGAATAATAAATTCACTATTCCTCTAGGTACCTACGAGTAAACGGGTAAATAAATTATAGGTTACTTTGGTCAACGCATTTCCATTGCTATTCAGCGTGGAAATGCAGCAAGTATCCTAGGCACCCTACCAGCTGGCAGTGATCTCAAAGAAATTTTTTATCTTTAAATATATATATATATATATATATATATATATATATTATTTATATATATATTATTTTTTATTACTTATCTCTAATTATATATCTATATTAACTATCTCTTCTATTTAGATATTTATAGTTTTAGGTTAGTGTAATATATCTAATACGATATAAACCTCAATATAAACAACAAAGATTGACTAGGAGAGAATGCTATAAGGCTTTAAGTCCCTCTTTTGTATTAATCTTTTTTAAAGTAGTCAATACAATATAATAATAGCCTTTATATCACGGAGCTCCTTTCAAATAATACTACATATACATATGTAACAATTAAGAAAGTATCTAATCTATATAATAGTGCGCCACCTACCCTTTCTCTTTTTCTCAATGTCCTCTACCCAAAGGTTGTCTGGAAGAGATTGCTTAACAATACGCTGCCTTTTGTATCACATCTCATTAATATTTACTGTATATATTATTATTTTTTCAAAAAGTGTAATAAAGTGTTAATGAATAAATAAAAGTACAATTTGGTGGAGAACGGTTTTAGACGTATTTGTACGATTTGAACGGTTTTGTACGAGTACTTCATTTATGTTAGTATATAAAAGTTCAATTTTATAATTAATTTATTTACACTTGTAACAGTTATAAAAATAATAGATACAGTAAATTGTTAATATGAAATTTAATAAATAAATACCTAACAATAAATATCGTTAATGGCCGATAGCGAAACCTACACACGTCTTTATTCAGAGCGTGATAACATGAAAGGCCAAACGTTATTTGGGAGTCTGGATATGAGAGTGGCGGGGCAGTGGGTGGGGGTCTCCATGGCCTGGATGTTGACGTTGAATGGAACAGCCGAATCGATGACTTTGGCGCCTCAGTGTCTACCGCCCAGCTGACGTCAACTGGAGAAAGTGCGGGCGAAGGATGGCAGAAAAGAATATGGGAAAACAAACACGGATTGAGATCACGAAACATGGTAATGTTAATCTACCATTGTACTCAGAAAAGTTTTCATGTATATTACATTTTATGCCAAATGTGGAAGAATTTTGGTTACTTTATTTTTTTAATAATCTAAGCTCAAATATAGGTATTATAAAACTGTAACCTAAATCGGAGTCGATTTATTTTGTAAAAAAAAAGTATCAAATATACGATCTGTGTATATATACATAAAATTAAAAGTCGCACAATAAAACCATGTTTAAATTATACTAAGTTTACAGACGCAGCTTTATCTATTTATTTCAATTTGTATTTTTTCTAATAAAACAAGTGAGAAAAATTATTTTTATTCAAATAAATTTAAATTTAAGCACTTTTAAATAGTAATATTTATATATAGAATATTATAAAGAGGCAATATTCGATTTTTTCTTTATAATAGATAAACTCAAGCGAATTAAGGATTTTTTTATTATTTTCATTCTATCAGGCCTGCTTTTTTTTCAAATAATCATACGTAGCTAATTTGCTACTCCATATTAGTTTATAAAGAAGAAAGATTGGTTTACTTGTAATGGATAAACTCAAAATTACTCCATCGATTTTAAAAATTATATCATTTATAGAAATAAATATAATGTAACATTATCAGCGAGTAACAAAGGCTGCATATTACTTTTAAAAATTCTCTCTACCAATGCGAAATCGACCTGATCGCTAGTTTTTATTTTGATGGGTGAAAATAGTATGGTAACCCCGCCTGCGCTAACGGAATATGCTGGCGGAGTACCAGTGAAGTGTGAGAGATGAGGATGAAAACATGCCAGTTAGCCCATCATGATGAATTCATCAGGAATTAACCATGATAGTTTCCAAGAAGAACAACGAGGAGGTCGACCTGGTTGGGTATATTGCTAGCAATGGAATTCTCAGTCTCCATTACTAACAATCCCTTCCTCTCCCCACCTGATCGCTAGTATGTGTGTGAATATACAACTTGAAATGGCAAACAATCTGACTGTCCCCCTGATGGTAAATGTTAATCATCGCCTACAGACACAAATAGCATCACGGATATCACAGAATACATTGTAACGCTCATAATGCCCTTCATGAGTTGTCTTTCGATCTAAGAATATAATAAACGCATAGGTTAAATTTTCAAAATGGATATTACTGTTTATTACTATAATGGATATTAATGGATATATGTATATGTGATGGGTTACTTCGCATATCCCATTTTATATGTCTTTTAGAAAATGCATAACGATATGAGTCAAAGAACCGGACAGCACGTTTTCTTACGATGAACAGAATTCATTATCACAATGATAACTCAATCAGTTTTTAATCTGAACAAATCAACATCACGTAGGTACACTATAATTTATTGTTTTATTATAAAATTACTGTCACGTACGTGATTTTTTGATGCATTCCCCTCTTTTATCGTACTTACCTCTCTTTAATCATTAAATATTATAAAACAAAGTACCCTATCGCGTCTGCCTACCTATATGTTCACTATAATCTCAAAAACCACTGAATGGATTTTCTTATGGTTTTCAGTTACCAATAGAGTAATTACTTAATGAAAGTTTAGGTGTTTTATGTGAACTGGTTTAAATATGACAATGATTATTGAAGATATCGAAAAAAAATCAAGCAATCCGTTTGAAATATAACGAAACAATGTATGGTGGGATTGTTTCTCTTTTATAAGTCTACAAAAAAGTCCGCAATGGCATATGTCTATGTTTTAAGGATAACTGAGTATACCCATTATTGTATTTGTAAAAGCTATTTAGATGGATACAGTATGCTTAATTTCATATACGTTATAATAGTCCTTTATACCATACAATCGCATTCTCGCACTAACATGACACGTCGACGGTATTTTTTTGATATAGTGATCCCACCCGCGCTCCACCACTCGCTGTTACCTACTTTATTATATAAGTAGAACGATAAAGCGCGGAGAGAAGGGATTGTTAGTAATATGGAGGTTAGTTCTCATTACTATCATTATACCCTTCGACTTCCACGCGGTTCCCATTGAAAACTGACTAATTTATCGTTGAATTTGTCACGTTGGGCTAATTGACATGCCTTTTCTTCCTCACCAATCATCCTTCACTGGTATCCCGCTGGTGTATACCGACAGCACAGACAGTGTCGCCACTCCATAATTCTTTCCCATCTCGTCAGTTATAGATTCGAGTTAAAGAAAATAATTACTTTGTCGTCGTCTTCAGTGCCTATGTGACTTGAAAATATTCTATGGGATTTTATCCTTCACTGGAGTCCTGCCATTTTTTTTATGAATTTCAATAAAATACGCACTTGTGCTATCAGTTTAGTGTAAAACACTAGCAAGCTACATGTAAGGGATGGTAAGTGAGGATGAAATTGGTCTGTTATGATGAATTCACCAAGAGTTGCTACCTTACTTAAAGCTAACTTTCAGAGCAAACTGCGTAGAGGAGGATCTGACAGAATATTGCTAACACAAAGGCCGCTATATCTTATTAATAACAATTCAATCGCTTCTGGGGTCACTCTGTTGTATACTTACCATTATATAGCCAGGTTCAATATTTTAACTTTAAACATTTTAAATATTTTACACCTACTCGTACATGTGAGGATTAGGCATCATAGCATAGTCCAGATATACTGTGATATCTATGATTCACGGTACTATTATATCTAGACAACGTTTACCATTTTCCAACAAGTGGCACATTAACTTGTTTGGCATTCGTACATAATATAAAAAATTCAAAAATAACTGTTTTCCCCAGTTAAAACAGTTTTACATAACCAGTTTAAGCAGTTATCAGGTAATGATGACTACATAAATAATCGTCCAACCGATAGATGGCGCTAATACGCTTTTATTATAATAGGTATTTAAATCCAATTATAATAAAATGTCATGTTATAAAATTCATTTAACTAATAAATAAAATTTAGTAGTTAAATGAATTATTATATTTCTAGAATTGTGTCTACTCTACGCTTATTATTTGATCGCACAAAATAAAAATATAATATAAAATTTCGGATATTTATAACCCCTATAACATAATTGTACAAATTGATAACAAAAAGATAATGTGGCAGATTCTATGGTGCTGCTTCCCTAAATTTATCTTTAATATTTAAATTTGATATCACAGCGATTTTTTGAGTTAAAAGATCTATATGAACTAAATTTTTTATAGGTTTAAGTCAAAATTATTATAATATTATAATGGTTCATAAATTAACAAACAATCGCGAAATTATCGGTTAATAAATAAGTTTAGAGAAATAATGCCTCAGAGTTGACTTCATTAGTAATGTATTTTCACTGTCTAAAAATGATGACTGATAAAACCTATTTCGTAAGAAATTAATTTTAGTACCAGCTCCATAATTTTTGTAATTTGTACAATTCTGTTTACACAAAGTTGTCCTCATTTTTCAATTTTTTTTACTAGCAGTACTAACCGTTGATGTTTACACAGCCTGTTTTCTGATACAGAAAACGTTATAATTATTGTATATGAACTAGCACAAAATTAATGTAAATCAATAAAATTATAGTTACAGTGTTATTTTTATTATTAATATGTAGATATTTTTAATTGAGTATATAAAAAAAAATTCCAACAAGAAAAATTAAAAAGAATTACCAGCTTTACAAATGCTCTACACATCAATGCAACAACAAAACAAAATGCAAACCAAATTTCAACATGGCTTTAGCTTGTGGTTAAATGGCAGCCTAAAATTAAATAACTAAACTTATGGCAGCGTGGGGGGTTGGAAGATAATAGTTTTGTTTATATACAACTAGTGTTCATTTTAAATTGAATTTACATTGTGTATTTTCCCATGAGTTTCGATTGTGTCGTTCCGACTTCATTTTTATCGTTATTGGTAGGCGCAGGTGAGGTGATAAGCTTGTCAATAATCAAAATTTAAAGATGAATGAATAAGTTGTTACCGGAAATTTCATAAATCTCCAACAATGAAGAGATGTTTGTTTCTTTGGTAAATATTCAATTGATGGAAGCTGTTAATTCATCCCATTAGTAATCACAGCATTTCCATCTTCAAAATCTTACTTCAAATTGTATAAGCCGTGCTTGGTTCATAAACAATTAATATTGAACTCTGTATAAAACTAACCTCGGTGTTTTGTCATGAAAATAAAGAAATCATTTTGTAGTTGATTCCTTCACATTAACAACGCATGATATACTAATTGTAAAAGCACAAAAAAAGTAAACTAACCTGGTCAGTGGATACCCTTACTTCTTTCTGTTATTCCATAATTGTCTTTTTAATTTTTTTCTCTTGCTAAAGACTTCAAATAGTATTGAATAATTATTTACAATATTTTATTCATGCTATACTAAAAAATAACAACTTTGCATTATTACTTGAACTAATTAATTATTGCTAAAGATTCCATTTTATTTATTAAAAGAAATATTAATTTTGTAAATAAGAATCCTCTATACAACATCTTGTTACTAGATAACTGCTTCAGCTTTATATCAGTCTGTATCTTGTATGTATATACCTAATATATATATTGAAATAAAATAATATTTAATGCTTGATACAATTTGAAGTTTTCCACATTCATTAGTATAGAGTAATATATGGTAAAAGCTAGATCATTCATATTTATATTCATTGTGTATAGTTAATAACAATTCATGGTTAGCATCAACAAGTATAATTTCTGGACTGCCCTAATATAATTTATGTTTGTACTGTATAGAAGATATGTAATTTTGAATGCATCTGTTGGGGCAAAAAAAAAATTTAAAAAATTATGAGGATTATTAGAAAAATTTTATAAGATTAATTTCATTAGTGCTTTATTGGTACTGAAATCTTTTAGGTTATTTTCTACTTTGATTATGTCAGATTATATTATAGAGTAAATCATAATTTGAAGATATTTGTGAGATTAATATAATATGTAAATGGAATCTGAAACTTAAACAAATTGATGTTTCATTCAAAAATCTCATTAGCCCTGATTATAACTTCCGAGCAAAAAGCAACACTATTAGAACATTTTTATGTATCATGTTTAATTTTGTGTTGCATTTATTGAAATGAATGACACAAAAATTAATAGCTGTCTGTCTCAACTTCACATGACTGTACTTTTCTCTTTAAAGTATGACCATTCTATCAATATTTTCCAAGATTTTTCTTCTGTCTCACTCATTCACATATTTTTATTATGTAAAATTTTTAATTAAAAATTTTCATATTTCTATATAGTTTTTTAAACATTTTAAACATTATATCAGTATTTTCATAGAAAAATGAAACATTGAATAAGGCGCTGGCCGTCCAGATATTAACTAAGTGCTAACTGTAAGACCATCTAAATGTAGTACTGTTTAGAGCTTTAACTCAATATTCATCCATATTTGTAAAGATAATCCACACATAATATTTGCATACTTTTTTTTAAAAATTAATCTAGTATGTGTTGTGGATATTGTTGTATATCAATAATTCTCTCTGTTTTTTAGAACCCTAACTTTTACAATATTTTATGGAATAAGCTATTATTATGTAGGATACTAATATGTTGTCTGTCCTCACTTTTAATACTTGATTTACAATTAAAAAGTAATGATAAATTTTTTTGCTGTTCCTCATTTGATATATAATAGAATTAATTACTCCACTATTATATCATTACTCATCCATAAAATTGCTGAAGCGTACATTTTCATTATTTTTTTCAAATAATTATTTCAAAATTGAGTATTGAGATATGAGTATTGAGATATTTTTAGGGTGTAAAGTAATAATGCTGAGTTCAATATGAAGGAAAAGGACATGATAGGAGGATGCTGTGTCTGCTCAGACGAGCGAGGTTGGCCTGACAACCCGCTCGTCTACTGCGACGGCAACGGTTGCACAGTTGCGGTCCACCAAGGTATGCATTCGACAATTTGAAATTAATACATAAAAAGTATAAGCAAAATTGTGACTTAATGATTTATTATTAGGCGACTGTTGTATTAGGTTAGTTAGCTTGCTTACAGTATAAAATAAGGATAATGAGATCTCTATACAATTATAAAATTGAAAATATTTAGTTATCTTTGCTTTATAATCCTGTCATTTTAATTGTATTGGAAAATATGGACAGAAGTGTTCAACAGTAAACAATAAATTGTTGGAAACAATAATAATGAATTAAATATTAATTAATTTATTATTAAAAATCTAAATACTCCAGCGAGGCCCTGGAGGACTGACGTGGAGAAGGGTTTCGCGTGAACAGTAGTTGCTCGCGAGTCAGTCGATCCTAAGCTCAAGGAGAAATCTTATGTCGGTTACTAAAAATCACCTAATTTATTTCATCTTATTTTTTATCATTATGTTTTTATATCTTTTATAATTACTGTTTTTAATTGACGATTATTGATGTGCCCTAATAATGCAAATGGAAAATATTTTTATTATGTTTTATGTTTTCAGCATGCTACGGAATTGTGACTGTGCCAACAGGTCCCTGGTACTGCAGAAAATGTGAAAGTCCAGAAACAAAAGGAAAAGTGGTATGTTTGTATTCATTTTTTATTATGGCATGAATAAACAATATTGACACCTTTATAATATAACCTTAACGTTAGTGACTCAAAGGAAAAATCAGCCAGTTCTTAAACTCAGTGAAATGGGTGTGCGACAATACTGGGTTTTGTACTAAAGGTTTACAGCAATCCTTCAGTTACCTTTTTATCTTGGTTGGCTGGACTCTCAATCAATCACGAGTCTATTTGCAAAAATCTCTGTACTATTATGTAGTCAACATTTACATAATTAAAATCTCTAATATAGGATAATACTTTATTTAAAGATTTAAATGAATTAAAAAAAAGAATATAAATATGTTTGTTTATGTATTTATAATGTTACATAACACTTCTTTGCAGCGGTGTGAACTTTGCCCTTCTAAATCGGGAGCCCTGAAACGTACAGATACAGGTGGCTGGGCCCATGTAGTCTGCGCGCTGTACATTCCTGAAGTGAGATTCGGCAATGTCACCTCTATGGAACCTATTGTACTCAGACTGATACCACCGGAAAGATATAATAAGGTAACACACTTTCATTCATTTCATGGGAGAATTCTATTTTTTCTTTTTATAATACTGAGATGTTGACATTCTAATTGATGAAAAGTTGTAGTCATTGTTTAAATTAAATAAATTTATACTATATGCCTTAGTAAACTGATAAAGGTATCTATTTTATAAATACATATGTATAATGACACTGTGTTACAAGTTTTAAAAAGTATGCTTAAAATTCTTCTATTTATTTATAATTAACGTTTTATAAGAATATATAAATAAATATATATGAAGAAGAGTCTTTTTTCTAACATGTAAGTACTACTTTTTATGCACAAATAGGTCTTAGTGAAAAAAAAAATTAAAACAAAACACTATATAACTGTTTTATAACCATCTAATAATGGAGATATAATAGTAATTTCTTTTTTGTTTTTTTTTTTTATTGTTGCATAACCTAACAATGCAAATTTTTCCAGACATGTTACATTTGTCAAGAGTCGGGTAAATCACACAGAGCCACTGCTGGTGCTTGCATGCAATGCAATAAGTCCGGTTAGTATATATATCCTGTTAATCTCTATATATAAATAGCAATGTTTGCAACATGGTGTCTACTGGCAAAATTATCCAATGGTGACCATCAGAAGGAAATAGTCCTCAGACCCCAGCGGGTCTGCTATTCCTGACCAAAGTTGTGTATACCATACCATATCAGCCGTTAACTGTCCACTGCTAAACTGGGGGAGGTCTATCCCCCTATTGGAGGTCTTGCCAGTAGTTGCAATGCTTAGTAGCTGGGTTAGCAACTGCTAGGCTTATTGATTTTTTAAGAGGTACGCTGCTGCCCATTCATTAATCGTTAAGTCCCCTTAGTTCCTTCTTACGACATCCGCAGGAAAAGAGGGGTGGTCTATTCTATGACGAGACCACACGTCATGGAATTGGCACAGTTGTGTATGTTATTATGTTATTACGGTCGATTCAAAGCTCCCATTTCTCTAAACTTAAAAATTAAGGTATCAATTTTATATTACAGCGAAATTTTTATTATAAGAACCAATATGAACTCATTTCCTCAAATATTTAAGTCAAAATTAATATAATATTATAATTTTAATTTATAATGGTCCATAAAACGGTTATATTGAGAATTTTTTAATGAAAATATTTCGTTAAGAGAAAGGTTTCAAGAAGTAACCCCTCGGAGTCGGCCCCAATATACACTTGAATTAAAAATATAAAAATGTGTAAAGGCGTTTGTATGTTTGTTATATATAATAGAATATAAATAATCTTTATTCAATTACAAGCTCTTTTAAATGTCACATTTTTATTATTGTACTTCTGAGGTCGGGACGATGTTATCTGCTGAGAAAAACCCTCAAGTAACTCAGCAGTTACTCTTTTCAAATTATTATATATAAGATAATTTTACAATTACATGGGTACTGTAACTAAAATTGGAATTTAAATTGTATTTATATGTATTATTAAATGGAAAATAAGCAAATAAGAGCAAACCAGTCCCCACAAGCAACACCAGTTCACGAGTATGACGGATGAACCAGTCATTATTGCGCTCAATCGTATTTTAGGAAACTCAACAATTCGGCTCATCACGCCGCCACCAGTCGGGACCTTATAGTGAGCATGTCTAAGTTCAAGTTACTTTATGAGTACAAATTACGTCAACTCATTTCTTATGAGATTATCAAAATACTCATACGTTACGAGAGTTGAATTGATATTTACGGTCAGAATAATTAATGTAATAATGTCAATAACTTTTTTTTAATTATGGCTCCATCGGAGTTCCGATGAATTTGCCAATGTCATTGGTAAAACAATCGTAGTATAATGTCATTTTAATGTATAATTTGTTTAACCTTAATTTGAACGTCGTTCGGCTAGACCATATTTTAGAATAAATATATGTAATCAATTTCATTGTTCTCTTATTTTTTTTATACACATACTATACTAATTTACAGCAAATTTGCTGATTGCCAGTATTATGTGTTCAGAAAAGTTCATAGTATTTATACATAGAACTCTTTATTGTTTCTACCAAATAATTACAGTAGTAAACTTTTTATTGATAAAAACATTATGTTTAATTAACTTGGCTGGCGACCTTGTAAGGACAAATGTGGTGTAGGGCGGCCCCCCGCAGAATGACGAATGACCACAAATATATTATTAGGGCATCCATCCTAATTTATGGCAAAATATGTGTAGCACATTCAGTAGTGAACGATATATAGGTGGTTGCATTACAGTGATGGTTTGATTGGCCATGAAAAGATTGTAGTTTTATTGTCATTTTATCTCATTTTAAAGGGTGCAGACTTTACGCTCACGTGACGTGCGCCCAACGGCTCGGTTTGCTGTGTGAAGAAGCTGGAAACTACCAGGACAATGTCAAATACTGTGGATATTGTCAACACCATTACAGTAAACTGGTGAGTATTTTTAATCATCCTCTTGCCCTTATCCCAGTTATTTGGGGTCGGGTTTAATATGTTTTACTCTTCCATTCATCTCTAAATCATTTCCCCATATATATATTTATATATTATTTTTTAAATATGTTGTTTATATTTATTTAATATTATATCTGTCTAATAGAAAAGAAATATTTAATATAATAAATATCCTACAATTATACATAGAAATATATGTTTGTTAAATGATATGCGCATATGAATTATAATAATATGTAAATTTATGGGTTTATTTATGTCTGAAATAAAATTATTTAAACATCAAAACTTCATTATTGTCAAAAATTTTACCCAACACACACACACCAGAGAACACAGTGGAGTTGATAACCTATTTCAAATCGGTATAAAACCCTTTTTAAAACATAATTATGTTTACGTAACTAACAGGAAGTGCGGTTATGTTAAAATTTATAGTCCCGCCTTGTACCTACAATCCTTATCAGTTATTCACAAGTATCCTGTTCTCTACATCGTTGGCAATGGCATATGCATTTGGTTCTCGCATTTGACACCTACTATAAACTCTGGCATACATTATATAGGTTCTGTTTTCGTAGAAAAAAGGCGGCAACGTGAAGACTATCCCGCCGTACAAGCCTGTGTCACATGACAGTCAGTCAAGCGATTCAAGTTGTGAGAAAGAAGGCGAAGCATCACCCATGGCTAGTGGCAGTGGAACTCCAACACATGCAGCTAAGTCTAAGGGGGTATGTAGTCATTGTGTTGAAACTTGTTTCACATACCAAGTGGCATAAAAAATGTTTCTGTGTACCTATGTAGCAATGGCACATAATTTTCGCGCGTTTTTTGTTCAAAATGATTGAAAATTGCTCACTTGGTGAATGTTGAATTTCAAATACTCTTTCGCCTCCTCTTTTCAGTAGTCTTATATAATACTGATGGTCGTGACACCTTAATTCTATAAGTTCAAGATCCGTTGCCTTCATGCCTTTCTGTCTGTCTTTCTTTCGCGATATGTAGCACATCATGAAGTGATTTGTTGGCTCGCACTACTTACCTGACATCAAAATTGAGAGAAGTTTAGAAAAACTATTACATGCGGTATAAGTAAATTGGTTTCTTGCGCAAGGTGATTTGCTATTAATTATCTCTGTAACAACATTATATATAGAAAAATACGGCATATTTGACTTTAAAAATATTATTGTGTGTTTATAGTATCCATTTTTTATTTTGTCTCTAAGTATATATTACTATGTGTAAAAACAAATATTGTATGATCCTATTATATAATATTATTATATTGTTAAGCTGGCAAGATCTCTATATATTTATTGTCAATCACTGCTCAACAAAATCTCCTAATTCACATTTATAAAACAGTTATGGACATTTCTTCTAATTTACCTATCTTCTTTTCTTTTTTACATAGAAAAATATTTTATTACATCAATATATTATATTAAGAATTTTAATTAAAATCAATTAATCAAATCATATTTGAAATAAATTCAGAAAGGTTTTTTGTTATTGTATATTTTGTTAATGCAAGGATATTGTTTATATAAAAAACTTAGATATTTTTACTTTAGATATTAATTTTAAATTTAAATTTCATAAGTTGAGCTGCTTTCCAGAAGCTTGAAAATAGTGATTTAACTATTTAAATATTCGTACAAATTGCAGCCTGGCCGAAAATCAACTCATACGTCCAACTCAGTGTCTGGAAAAAGTACACCGAGTTCAACCAAAACGCCGACAAACACAAGCCAACCAATGGGTAAGTATAAGCACTACAAAAATAATAATGCATACAATAAATTTATTAATAATAGTATAATAATAAAATAATTATCCATTTATAATTTATAAAAAAATATGATAATTAATGTTTGAAATATGATTTTATTTTTTTAAATTTGAATAAATTATTGAAACTGCCTTGTTATTTTATCTAATATACACAAAACACTCCACAAGAAGTACTTCTAGTATAGATAGAGTTGTAACTGTAAAGCTGTACAACTAACTTATGTATATTGTTGAAGGCATCTGTAGAAATGGTATATAAATTGACGTGACTTTTAAAAACAGAAAATGACAAAAACTGTATAAGGAGAGCAAATGAAAGATGACAGGGGATTTTTATTTTGGGGCCACTTAGAATAAAAGTGGTTTAATTATATTTGTTCAAACTCTATTTAGTCTAGTCGATTGAAAAAGGAGTGACTAAGTTTACAGATGGTTATGAGATAAACAGTATTTCGCCTTTTGGTCGTAACATTTACAACATACAATTAAATATTGTTTGTGGATTATAAATCCCCTTATTCTTCTATATTGTAACAATGTTATCTCCATTCACGCAACTAAATGTTAATTTCTAAACACACTGTAGAGCAAAACCATGTAATTAAATTTATATATAGCATAGTTTTGAGGTCATGTCTAGTTATGATTAAGTAGTTACGCATTAATAACTTTATTTCAAATAAAATTAATAATAACTATTTCTAGATCTTGGTAAACGTTGAATCAAGTTAAAAAGATACTTTTTACATATTCCCTAAAGCTCTATTTGAAATAAAGTTATTAAATACTATGCTGTCGCCATTCATAATGTAGTAATCACATAATTAACGGCATTTTTGTACGTACACCTGGCTGCAGAGACCAACCAAGACAGTGCCGAGGTGCCTACAGTTGGACGGAAACACAAAGCGGCTGATAAAAGTGTGTTCCGATTGCTTATGTAGATATAGCGTTGCATGCACGTAGTAGTATGTATTTGTTGACGTCTTTTTGATGTTTGTAATGGTCATTGATTTGTTAGCAATTGAAGTGAGTATGAATGAGAGAAAGAAATATCTGAAATGAATACAGTAAGTGTCGTAAGGGAATGTTCTAGCAGTGAAACTGAACATTTTTTGTAAAGTAGTTTGGGTTGATAAGCGACATATATTTTTTGACTCGCCCATACAAACTGAGCAACTAAACTCCCAGTGTTTTATTGAAAAATGTCCATTATCATTGGTAGAACACTCCCTTTCAGAAGATGGTTTTTATTGTATAGTATTACGCCTGACATTACTTGTATGGAGTACCGAATCGAGTAATTTTAGATATATTGCATTTAAATAAATACACATAATGTTAACAGAGATTTAAAAGAGTAACTTTAACAGAGTTTATTGCGGACTCTTCTCAACAGATAACAACTTTCAGAATTCTACATTCATAAAAAAATTTCGATTCAAAAGTGCTTGTAAACAAGTCCATTTGAATAAAGATGATTTAAAATTGATATAATTATCAAACTCATGAGTAATTGTAATGATGACAGTTTTTTAATCTGTCAACGATTGGTTTCGTCAACAGATTAATTAAAAGGTATTAAAAATAATAATAATTTGTATGTGTAATTAAATAATCAGTTATATTGAAATAAAAAATAAATGCCACGTTATTTATTTTAAATAAACTATACTTTAAATAAAATAGTTCATACAATTTGAAATAGAATGGATTAATGTTGTGATAGAGGGGACTCTACTTGTACACTAAATTTTTTATATTTTACAATTCAATTTTACAAGCGTCCATTGAATCTTGGGTACTAACTACATTTTATTTTTATCATCATCATCATCATTTCAGCCATTATCCGTCCACTATCAACAATTAGTTATTTGTGGGTGTACTCCAATAATAAAATAACTAACAATAAATTCAAGTGCACAATTTTTAGTCATTTAGTAAATTTACATATTATCCCAAGAATTAAATATTATATAAAAGTGACACTTCCGGGAATTCAATAGTCATGCCGATTTGCGTTTAAAGCTGTTTATTGGGTTTAACGTCCTTAAATAAATAACCAGGGTGTCTAATCTGGTGTCACATTTACCTGAGTATTTATTTTTATGGTGCTTGCTCATGAAGCGTTTCTTTAGAAGGTTTTGAAGGTACATTACACATGTGGTGCATCCAAAATGAGAAAAAAATAAACAAAGTATTAATTCTTGAGCAACTACGTCGAGTTATTATAGAAAATATAATAAAAATAAATTATGAATAACCGAAATGTGGGAGATGACGTCCACCGAAATCATCCAAATCGTTCTGTCGATGAATGGAAAATGTTATTCCAGACTAAGATAAGAACCCAACCAGTCTGGAATAATATCTCAGATGATCCGGATTCCAATGCATGTCGCTTCCAAGAAAGATGCAGAAAGCGGTGCTCTTGGATACTGCCCGCATAGTACGCCGGTTTCTCTCTCTGGGGTTCTGAACTTCGGCCGACTATGCTTGTACTGGGGGTTAGTGTGCCATATTTCCTTCTTAAGAGAGGAGATGTGAACATTGTTATAAATTATTTAATAATGTCCTAATTGAGGACGTAGTCAAAAGTCTGCGGAGCCGGCGTGCAATGCAAGAGTAGAGTTGTGAAAGTGGATGAAATACGTATGTATGGGTAGCGGCGTTGTATATGATCATTATATCCTTCGGTAAATAATTATATTTTACTTGTCACGTTAAGTTCCGTCTCAGTCACTTTATGGACGACTTTATGGAACTCAAGTTTTGAAGTTCGTATTACATTTTTTATTGACGTTTAAAAATAAAGTGGTAGATTAGCTTAGTATTAAGTTGCATGTATGTAAATGTTAGTATTAGAAGTGTGGCGTTATAGTTGGGTACGTAGTATGTGATGTCGTATTGGTATTAAACCATAGATTAAACAGGATACAGAACATTCTTAGGGGCATTCATATTATCATCAAAACAACATTACTGTTCAACCCTATATATGTATTAATATTGGATGTGTCCTATCAGGCATTGTTGTGTCAGTCAGTAGTGTTGTTTAAATTGCGCGTACAGGTTGTCGGAAATGATAGATTTAATATACACGTTCTGAGTGCCATACTCGTGAACGGGAGCTATTTGTAGGGATTGGTCCACTCTAATCACTACGATTGGTTTATTATGTTATTTAGCTCTAATTGTATGTTTAATATTGTGATTGTTTTGATTGTATGGTATTTGGTAGTTGGTGTTCACACAAAATGATAACATGAAAATTTTTAAACTGAGTTTCTAGTCCATTTTTCTCAGCTGTAACTACTTTCTAAATTTGGGCGGTGATATCATAATAAATATTTAAAATGACTAATTTAAGATAAATCTAAATAAAAAAATTCTAGTCTTTTGGAGTCCACAAATGTATAATACACTCATATCTTCGTGTAATCAGGGCATACTTATTGACCAAAATAAAAAGTCGTTTAGGCGAATTTTTATCTTGGACTAGTCATTCTCCGTCCCAAATAGAGCGTGTATGCCAAGTTTCATGAGGATTGATCGAGCCGATAAAACGCCAAGAAATAATAAACAAGCTCACTTTTATATATTTTATTATGAACCAGTTTTTGCCTGCATTTGGTATGCGAGGAATTTGGAAAGGTAGGTAACTTCTAGCTGGTGTATCAAGATAGAACATCATCAGATCTTCAGAAACACAACTGTAAAAACGGATGCAATTTGATTTTGAGTTTTTATGGGCATACACACTCACAAACAGACATACAACAATCTTAAAAATTACATTGCTTCCATTGCCCTTATCCCTCGTATTATTTTTTCCATGTACTTACAGACACGGTCAAGCCACAGTTTTATATCGATTATAAGCATTTATGTACGTCAATAAAATAGCGGAACTGCTAGTTATGACGTTTAGACCGCTGACCACGCGTCCATTGTTATGTCACGTGTCTCACCCGCATCCCTTCCCGGTTTTAATATCATTTAGACTCGGAAATATCATAAAATTTTAAGCTCTCTAGTACGCGTTGAATCTTTATCCGTGTCGGTGTTGTTTGTTGTCAATAGTTGTAAAAAATATGTATTTGAAATATTCCAAGTAAAACAAAAAAAAATAATTTATTCATCACTTGCGAATAGCACCGACTTTGCATGGTGAAAATTTTATATACGAATCTGCCGGAAAATAATGAAATGACATTTAAACCGGTATAAAAATTCACTACGTTGTTTACATGTAGTAAGCGGAGAAACTGACAGACCGGGACAGTCACTTTCTTTTGTACTATTTAGAGATTTTTAATAATATGAAGTGTGTCTTTCACTCAAAAGATACTATTATCTTATTACAAGAAAATAAAAGAAAAAGATGGAGATATTAACAGTAATACAGCTAATTTTAAATCGATTGATCACTTTATAAATTAAGCTCTAGTTCAGATTCGTGGTCGAGTTAATTCATATTTCTTAACAAACTGTTAAAGACAAAGTTAGTATTTTTTTCGCGAGTATATATAAATTCTGATTTTTGAAGGATTTTAATAAATAAATATCATTCGTGTATTTGTTTCAATTGTGAGAGTGTTAAGAAATCTAAATAATTAGCATTTTTGTACTAATAAAATTGAACATTATTTCTGATGGAACATGAGAGAATAAAGAAAATTTTCAAGCTCCGGGAATTAATTTGACAAGTGGGCATGCTATATTATTTAATTTTAAAATTATACGAATTATTGATACGAAATAATCTGAATATAATAGTTGCGTAGTTGTAATTTAAAAATATTTATATATTTTCACAAGTTACTCACTATACCATTCGATAGGGACCACACAATGCCATTTTTTTATAACTCATGTAAGTAAATACAAGGTATAAAAGTATAAAATTACCATTTATTAAAAAAAATCTCCCTTAATCAGTTAATAAAAATTATGGTTGCATTTAAATATAATTTAAAGTTCCCAAATTTTTGTCCAATTAAATATTTTGAGTGCGTATGTTTATATCGATATGCGCATAGTAGGTATGCACGTATTGTAACCGGTGATATTTAGGCGAGAAATTGCATCAATCGTCAGACAAAAAGAAACCGTCGCCGTCACGTCGCGGGTCGTTAGCGGGCGATGCGGGCGGCTCCGGCAGCAAGAGTAATACACCAGCGCCCTCGCCGCAGCACACGGCACCTGAACATGTGCAGCCGCCGAGTGGTAAAGGTCAGTTGGAATGACTGTCTTCACACCAGTTCTATCAAGATAAAGTCTAGGCAGTAGAGAGGAATGTTAATGATGGAGACTAGTGACTCTATCACTAACAATATACGATATATTTGATCAGGTGATCAACTGATCTGCTTTCATTCTCATCTATCATCTCGCCGCTGGTGCCCCATCAGCGTATAGTACATGCGTGGTTGCCATTCTAATATCATTTATTTAAAAAAAAAAAACATTAATGTCCTAGTTTCAAAAACCTATTTGATTAAAGATATAGTAGTTCTCACTATTGTAACACCAAGGAATTAAAAGTAAATCAGACTCTCTTAAGCAAGTGTAGACCAATCATTAACTTCAGGTTGCAAATATAGTAATCATACACTTAGTTATCTTGTATATTGAAATATTTTTTTAAGAAAAACTTCGCCAAGGATTTAATTTCACGAATTTATTTATTTAGAAAAAACTCTGAAACCATACTGTTGTACTTGATGATTAGGATTCTCTTAAATTACTTAAATATTGTTATTTATTCCCAGGCTCAGGTAGTTCAACTCCGGTAAGCACCGCGAAGGTAGCGCCACCTTCCGCTTCGCCAAGTTCTAACAAACCTATCGAAGCGGTCGGTGTGATAAGTTCAGTTGCATCCGTCACAGCAACTTCCGTCTCTACAGTTACAGCAACCCCTGCAAGGTACAATTTTTTTTATACCTTCTACTGGTAGTAGCAATGACAGAGAATGAAAGAAGACAAAAGCAGAGAGAAAAAGGGGCATGAAAAAGGAAATAAAAAAGTCTTAACTAACTGTCTATTTTGTATGCCTATGTAAAAAAAATTCAAGACTTGGATAATCCACGTATTGAAGAAAGTTTTAGTGATAACCTTTTGCTTATCGCTTAAACTTTAACCGTTGTATTAAATTAGTATGAGAGGATGTCAGAAACAAGAAAACCAATGAAATAGATCCCTTCTAGATGCGGTATCAAAATAAAATTTCAGATTTTTAATTAGGAACACAATTGTGCAGTAATTTATACGTGATGCAGGAACAAATATTTAGACAGAGACAACATTTATAAATATTGTTGTTTGGCATCTATTTGGTCTTATTAAAACTCCTCATAATAATTTCCCTAAATGCATATGTTCCATATATAGATATTCTCTAGTTACAATTTTATTGTATGAGTAAATTTTTTTATTTCATTGTTTGTTTGAAAATTATGTTTAATTTTCTGATACTTATTTTTAAATTACAAATATTGTATATATATTTACTTATTTTTTACGACGGCTATAACAATGAAATCAATGCTCTGCAGAACGCTACCCCTGGATTAAGAAACTGTGAACGACATTTACGTAACTACTTTTGTTTATATGTATCGGTATGTTTTATATAGCACTTCGGCTACTACGTCTGTAGTACAAGCGCCGTCGACCAAGTCGGCAAACTATCAAGAGACAGTGATCACAAACACCGACTCAATGGACACTAAACAAACCAAGAAACGAAAAGCTGTATCTGCCGCCAACACCCCCACGGTGCCGGTCGATTATGCAGCAACACCACCGTCCCAGGTTGTTCTAGTATTTTTTTTTACCGACTTCAAAAAGGAGATTCTCAATTCGATTGTAATTTGTTACCTCATAATTCTGTCACTTATAAGTCGATGTTTTATCTTCCAAATTGGTCCCATATAAAATTTTATCAAAATCGTTCTTGTAGTATAGTTTTTAAATCAAAATAGCTGGTTTTGCCATAATTGTAATCGTTTTTTTTTTTTTGTTGTAGAACATAATCCTAAACTATTTTAGTTACAATCACATTCGGAATTCGCAATATTAGTTTTCAACTTCGATAGATCATACCAAAACGTAAAAAAGTCTCCAGAACTTTCTATGTCACTCCGACCCTTCGAGATTTTTTTATGACTCCACTTGCCTTACATAATGGTATCACAGTTAAAGGAGTATTCACTTTATCGCCTATAGAAATCTGTTGTCATGTCACTTTCGTCGCAAGGGTTGTCACATTTGTTTTCAACAGACTTGAAAACGAAGAGATTCTCAATTTGAGTACTCAATAAATATAGTTTGTTAAAAATTTTGTGTTGCAAATTTTTACTAGCTTTGAATTTTCTATATTCGCTTACTTTAAATTCGACCAAATTCTAAATTCGACTAAATTCTAAAAATTATACTCAACTAAACTATAAATTAACTGAACTAAATTCTAAGTTCCACGCGACTTGATTGGACTTAATTCGACTCGGCCGAATCAGTAAGAAGTTCAAGTTTCGTCCAATTTGACTAAGTTTAGCCAAATTCGGTCTAATTGCGACAAATTTAGTTTAATTTGATCACTTAAATCTAGTTTCGTATAAATTGACCACTTTGATCCTTTGTAGTCAGGTTAATTCTCCTTCAATAGGAGGAAATTAAAACCTGGCTCAATTTAATTTTTATTAATTTAGGCTGACAAAGGTTGGTTAAACTACTATAAACTTACTCATTATTCATAACCTACTCCAAAATTAAGAATATTGATATCCGCCATCTTTTTTGTTAAACTCAAAAAAAAATATTTTTTAAGATCAACTGACCAAAATTAATTAAAAACTTTACGCGGAATAAAATGTAATTATACTATTTATATAATGCAATATAAAAAAACTCTTCGAAAATCAAAACTGTCCACATAAATAAAATAATAAAGTAGTTAAATAATAAAATTAAACCAACCATTTCATAATTCAAAAGTATAATGCATACATTAACCTTTGGCAGGTATTGAATCATTGTATGGCAGTTCAGTAACCCCTGCCCCCGCCTTCCCTTAAAAGTTACCCTGTCTAGACTCCATCGTGAAGCTACTGTATGAAAAATTGTTCTTTATACTGTGATGATGTGTAATGTATAATTGACTCGACAAAAAGGCATTATGTTGATGTCCAATAGTATTCAATTAAAAAATCGATTAAGATAATATATCGATTTGTTACTAATTTCACTTAAAGAATGTTTCTAGATAATTTCAACAACAACAAACAACTGTTCAACAAATTACCTGTTCATTCTATTGTCTGTTAAGACTATAGATAACTTATAGTCTTTAGTGTAGTATTTTGCGTGGAACTGAACGAATCAGGAAAACACAAAACAGTAAATAATGAACAATTTCTTGACACATATGTCTTAATCTATGAGCGCACAACACGAAAATATGAAAATTAAATTATGATAATGTGGATCCAACTAGGTGAGCGCAGCGAGAGCGACTAAAATTAAAAAGTATAGTAGGTATGGTAACAATGTTGCCATATGAAAATTTGTGTTCCGTTTAGAACAGTATTTCATATCTTGAAATACCTATAGGTTTTTCTTCTAACAAAAGTAGGATCACGTTTACGATTGTGAAACCTTGTTTTACTATTATAAATTAGCAGATACGATACTTATTATAAATCTTATTAAACTTTGTATTTATTTTTTGATAGCAACCAAATGATGTCAATGCTCAGAACAATACCAGTATGTGGGAGACTCCTCACATTCCAAATGACACTCAGATGGATGCAGTCGACAAGATCATCAAAAAGGTCTGTATTCTTTTGTTATTTGACCCTTTTGTACTAAAGTTATCGAATCCTGAATCTTACCCATATTTATATGTACTGTACACAAAGAGGGCTTCCAGTAAGAATCTTACTAATCGACGCAACGGTCGTGAGCACATTTTTTTTTTTTTATTTCAATTTCTCCGCTTCTTACGATGAGAATCCCTCGTGGTTATATTCGAGTAAGTGTATAGATATTATTAACTTTTTAATCGCTAGGTTTTTGTAATTGTTACGCCAATGATAATTAAATTTCTAATTGGAATCCTCAACTCCAATTAGTAATTTAATTGTTAATTTTTTTTATTTATTTAAATTTCATTTTATAATATTGTTGCGTTCTATATTGTACATTTTGTCTCAATATTTTATTGTTGTGTTAATATAGTAGTCATTTAAATGAACAGATAAATTAACAGTTTTTCTTTAATGTGTGACTGTGACATTGATTGTTGTAAGGCATAATTTTAATAATAAATAATAATTAAAGTTCCTTAAATTAATGATTAGTATTGTATTTAATAATTTTGGTGAAAGATTTTATAATATTTATATGCCCAAGGACGACGGAACATAGGGAACTGAATATTTTTTTTATTTAATATCATGCAACTAAATATTTATGCAAATAAATTATTAATTGGCACAATTCCGACAGGACTGGTACAGGCACGAAAATATTTGTCAGATAAATCTAGCCAGGGCAGTTAAAAAGTAAATAATTAATACATTTTTTTTATTATTTTTTTATCAGGCCAAGACAGAACAAGCTGGGCAGGAGAACCCGCCCGTATCACATTTTGCGAGTATGAGCCCCGCCCCACCTCCGCCACCACCGCCGCCAGCACACAGCCCTGCATCGCATCCCAGTCCTAGGCAAGTTCTCTATTGCACCTTCATGATTTATAGAAACACGAAGCGGAACCATTTTTATAACACGATAGACAGAAAAGGTAGACGTAAGACGGGGAAATGAATCGGTCATTTTTATGTCCCTGCCATACGATGCAATCAATGCAATCAACGTTTTACTCTCCTATTATATACAATAACAATAAAATCATACCATTCGATACTGTTCTAAGACAAACTGTGTTCAGTCCAAAACTATTAAGACTATGGACTCTTAAAGCGAAATGTAATTAGATAACTAAGTCTTGTGTTATAGTTTGTGGTCGTAATCTGTATCGGCATTCTTTGCCTACACCGTAAGCCTACTTCATCTAAGTGCCACGCAAGCGGTTTTGTATGGTGAGTACAATGTTTGGAAACAATAAAATTATAAATCCAAATTATTGTAAACAACTTTATGTTCTATAAAAAGTACAAATTGATAAATAAGAATTATTCAAAACCCTTTCATTTTTCAAATTAGTTTCCTTACAGGCATTTTAAGATATATTTCTCGAACTTTTATTTCCCGAGCTTCTTTAAAAATGTCCTGTATAATTCAATTACTAAAGTTACCAATATTTTTTTTATTCAAGTATGAATGCTTATAGCATATTTAATTATTATTTTTTTTTATGATTATTCACCCATTCGGAGTGCAATTTCAGCTGAAAAAAAAACGAACAAGAAAGTCAGCTGTTACTTTTTGCAATAAAAATTGATTTTATAATTATAAACTTATGACAATACAGACTAGCACAAGAGTTATTAAAATTATTAGACAAATCAAGACTATTAATATACATATGATTTTGAATTGTTTGTCAAACATATATTCATATATGTCAGACTTAATTCGTAATTTAGGTAATATATCCCATCCATGACTATTTAGAGCCAGGCATATTTCGTCTTGTAAGTAATCGTTTAGTGTGTAATAGGCCTTATTCATTAATTGTTTCTTAAATTTGTTGAAAGGTAGATCATGCTACCATGATAATATGTCTACACATATTAAGGTAGATATTTTGTTTTCTTAATTGTTACTAACATAATTTTTAGTTAGATACTAACAATGGGGATCCTTGTCATCTGAAATAAAATGTATTTAGATTTTATTTACATTTTCTATTATTGGTGCATTACAATTAATTAGCTTTGTTATGTGATATCACAATTTACAGATTCTTCGTGGAATATGTTAAATATATATTTTAATGTGCAGACATCTTCCAAGCCCAATGCCTGGTCCGAGTGGCCTGAACACAATGTCCAATATACGTTCGCCGTCACAGCCACAGGTTAGTTCGAGATTACTCTAAATAATATATATTTTTATACACATATTTGATAGTTATTCAATGTAATGTACAGTTGATATTACCCACGAATTGTGTAAGTTTATTATATTAGTAAAAAATACTGGCAATGCTTTAGTTACGCTTAATTATATAAGTATGTAAAAACGAGACAGCGATAATAGTAATAGCTATAGTTGAAATACACAACACACGCTTTTTTGCTCACAAACAATTTCTTCCAGACAATGTACTTTTTGTTGTAATTTGTCTGGGAATACTCAGTATTCTCTAACAACTACAATATTTCTGAGAAATCTTAAGAGTTGCGACATTTAGTGATTGTAAAAGATATTGGGCGTATTTTTTTGCTGTTAAGTCATTAACTCTTAAAATTTCCTATTGCTGTGCATTTGTTATTGTAGATGCCATCATATGCCTTTCAGGTCGACTTGGCCTTTTCATCTGCCTGATGTTCCCCGGGAACGGTTCTTCTTATGCATTTTTACCATAAATCTAACGTGAAAACATAGGGCACGAAATATATACGATCTAAATCGTTTCTCCTTAAACTAAGAATATGGGGCTTGTCACACTGGGTGCTGCATGTATTCTGTGGCCTGCTCTAGTTTTAAACATTTACATCTTATTTCTCTATAAATCCATATAAGTCGCTTTCAATACCAACAAGTCAATAATTAATCCAAACATTAATATGTCCAAAATCACTATATTTTATCATTCTTTGACAAACCAATCAATAAAAATTCTAAACAAATATATCAGAACGAAATAAATGCACTTAATCATTATTTTTTCTTTTTTAATGTTGTTAAATTTTATTAAATCTATCACTGAGTATATATCAATCTATCTAAGTCGAGCCTCAGTAGTTACTTACGTAACTTTCATTGCCTTGAGTATTTTTAAAACATTACAATATCAGATATAAGTTATTTAGCTCTTAACGGTTTTACGGTCAATCACCGCGCATTTCAACGCATCATCGATATTTCAGGGCACACGGAGTTGACTTTATTATAATAATTTTAATTAATCATTGTCAAGCAAATCAACTGCGCATGTTCACAACAATATCAAGTTGTATTGAATATTAATAAATTTTAATATTTAAAATCACCAACAAAGTGTTTATCATTTATCAAGACAAGGTGCAGGAACAAAGCCCTACAATAAGTAATATTTTTGTATATAGTATAAGTCTAAATGACATATAGTCTAATAGCAATTTATATGAGCATTTATAAATAAGATGACTGCCCAGAAAAAAATTCTCCCACAATAAATTATTGAAAATTTTGCTTATTTTTCTTTTGTGTTGTCAGATTTAAAACGCCTTACTTATACTAGTAAATTCATTATTATAGTTGACAGTAATATTAATTCAGATTCAATAATATAATAGTGTTATGAGCTTCACCTAATCGGTGCCATCGTCTTATGTATTTGTCTGAAAATTTTAACACATCAAGCATGTGGTTAGCTACCCATGGGCGCAGCCATGAAGGTCGCTATCTTCTGCGTATTCTATTGTTTTCCCTTATAAAGATTACCAGTTTCCAGACGGCTTTGCTTAAATTGCGTATTAGAAAATTATATATTTATAATTAGTCACTTGGTAACATAGTAAATAGGTGCTGACCAATGGCTTTCCTAGTTGCACCCAAAACGACTGTGCAAACCAGGGATTTCGCTCAGGGTCTTTCAGTTCTTTAGACCTACAATTTCAAATTCTTAACTAAATCATTACAAACCATGTAAATAATTGAATAATAATCCAACCCAAATTTCCCCTCCAATGTTTCGTAATAGTTTTTCAAGTAAAGGACGTTGAACTGACTTGAAATTGTAGATTTGCAAGCGCTTCAATGCATACGAGGTAAAGGACTAAGGGAGCTCATTGGACTATCAAATAATATCAAATAAATATTTATATTGACACAATTTGAGATTGAAAAATGTTTCTCAATACATTGACTATTCTACTGTGATCAATATTTAGTTATTTTTTTTTTTATATATGACAGTAAAGTTTATTTATACTCATCAAAGTCATGTGTAAATTTGTATTTGAGTTTGGAGTTAGTATTTACCTTATGGTAGAGGTGGAAGATTATCTCACTTCATTATTTTTCAAATATACGAGATATTGTAAAGGGTTATAAGTGCGTAAATAGTTTTATTTAGCTTTTAGACTATACAATTGATAATTTAATATGACTCTAAGATCCATATGGTATTATTATTATAAGTCCTAAGGACTTACAGCTTACTTAGGTTTACTTTAGGTTAGATCTTACAGCGTCCTCTAGTGAAAAAGGTCAGAGTAAGAATCCCTCGTCTGCACAGGCCGTAACCGTACGGTGTACTAATCGCGCAATTGTGTAGGGCGTGAAGGGCGAACGCGACGGACCTGCTTCACTGCTCGTGTCGGTGCCGCTGCCTTCCACCAGCCACGGGCTCAACCTCTCAGCGCACGCACAGGTTCATAACTCACGTGTACACACAAATATCTCTGAATGAAATTATAACTTATTATCATTATAATACGGCAGGTTTTGCATTTAGTAAATATGGGTTGGTTGTTTGTTAGCGCTGTTTTAGAATACTCACATAATATATTTCATATTTTTTTTTTGTAACCAGCATGTATAAGAAAAAAAAAATTGTATATTTATTAAAATAAGAGACACCCATTGCACACTTTACGTTTTTTTTTATTATTTGTTTTTATAATGGTATCAAGACTACCGGTGTTGTGTTTTTGGTTTGGGTAAAATAAGATTTACATCCATAGACAATGCATAACATGTATGTATATATTTTAAAACTTTATGTAATAATACAAATGACAGAGACTACAGACATGAACAAAGTTAGATAACACAATATTACAAACTTTTTTTTAATCTGCAAATCTGCCCACAAAACCGTTTTAAAAAATCTCCTGTACCTAATGTCTTTTTTTATTGTTTCAATTCTTAATAAATAAAAGAGTTAAAAGATCAAAAATTATACTGGAATGACATGAACTCTTATGCAATAATCCTATGTGAAAAAATGACGCACAAAGTTGCGACATCTAGGTACTTAAATATCCATGTCTATGGTAATGACACTTCATGTTTTAAAGACGAATTTTTGTATATATTTCCATGTCCTCAAAAACGCATGAAACCTTATTGAAAAACATTCATTTCAATTTATGGTGATTTCAATGTAAGTGACATTGATATTTTTGTGTACACCATGCTGTAAATGCTTCACCTATCATTTATTATTTTTACACTTTAACATTGTGCCTGCCCATAAACATTGTGATCCATGGTTACCTTAACGTTAAAACCTAAGTTTACATTATTTTTATCCAACTGCATGTAGGTTTATGTCCGGATCTTTTGTGTAACATAAAGCCTAAATAGATTGGACTTTTTTTAATTGGGGATTCTTTAGTTAGATAAAGTCTCAATTTAGTAGTACAGTGGCCATAGGCAGTCAAAATCTTACAAAACTATCGTCTTAGAAATATAAATGTTGTTTGTCGCGTCCCATGACTATTAATTATGCAATGGCGTTTTTGTCACTTGCTCGCTCCGTGTGTGGCTCATGGCTCGAGCGATAAATATAATAATGAAAATTATTTAATAATACCGGATATTTTTGGCAGGTCGTTAAAATATAATTTGCAGATGTTTATTTAAACAAAACTATAGTAAGAAAATACCTCGCTCAATACAATCCTTATACTGTATAAATTGCCATCCAGACCATTGTACGTCGCACGGAGTAAGTATAAATAGCTAAACAATTATGAAAGAACACCATTGTAATATGTCAATACACCATCGCACCGTAGGTACCGTTACATTGTTGACACGACAGTTAAGGCCGGTATGTTACACGCACAAACATCACTGTATTCATGATAAGAAATAAAGAAAATCATACCATATCGAAGACCTTATCAAACACAAGGATGAGTAAAAAATATTCACTTGTTGTACGTGAAGTTGGCATAACAGTAAAAAGTGACGTCACGTTTTAAAAGGAACTGTCAGCGATATCGGTGCAGTATCGAAAATAAACATGTGTATCAGGGTAAGGTGATTCCAACTGATACACTTCACTTAATTATTGAAAACATGCTAAAAATAGAATGTCTTCGTTGGAAATAATGTGTTTATAGTAAATAGTATTTCAGTAGTGTATTGTGTGATTGAAAAAAAAAAAACAAAATAAAATAAAACTGCCAGGGTTTGCACCAGTAGCGCCTTTTTATATACAGAAGCCAATGCACTTTACAATTGAGCTACAATTTAATTGGACAATTTGGGAAATTGTCAATCACTATAGATGTTTGTTAACGCTATATTTTTGACTATTATTAGAAATATAATTCCCAGCAGTATATGCCGTGAGAAATTACTTGTTAACGATATTCGGACTAATGGATTAAGATGTAAACGACATGTGAGTGTTTATAATTTCCATATAATTCACAATTACATATAATATGCATGAATTGCATGATTTATTTATAATTTATAAAGAACGCTTTTATATGATTTTAACTTCACGATATTATAAGAGAATTAAATATATGCACCAGTAAATATAGCGTACAGATATCGTGGACATACACACACGAGAATTTAAAATACAAAACACATCTCCATACAGTTACATATATTTTGCAATCCTATTATATCGTGGGGATAAACTCGAAACGATATGGTGCCTTGCTATCGTAAATTATAAAAGCGTCCAAACTAACTACGAAATTTGATAAATTTATCTTTTATTAAATTAACATCGACAAACTGTATAATGTTTGTTGATATATTTTTAATTTATTGTATTGTTTTACACTTCATCATAGGTGTCAGCACCATCAGAGTTATGCGGCCCGTCACCACACATATTCCACCAGCCACAAAAACAAGTAAGTACTCATAGAAAACTATTCATTTATACATATATTCAATGCCTAAAGTCAGTCCTCCATCGAGAAATATGTTATTGTCGAGTTTATTCAATGATAATGTATTTATAGGCGTACCTACCAACATAAAAAGTGTTCCGTTGATGTTGTACTCACATCAAATCTTATTCCAGAATTGGACTCAAATTTCTCTCTATTGTATTTTAAAGTTGTTTTCGTTTTAGACAATTTAAATTCTAAATAACTTTGTATATACATGTACCAATAGATAGGGACTTTGAAATGCAACTGTGTGTTTAGTTCATCATTGCTTTAAAGCTTAATAACCTTGCTAATTAATAATACACATAGACGAAAATGAAATTTACTTCTGAAATAAGCATACAAACTTGCGTTTTAGTAGTCTGTATCTTCTTCCATATAGTTATAATTCTTTTCTACTAGTAATCATAGATTTATTAAATAAACAATATAAAATTTAAAACAAGTATAGGCAAAAGGATATTGACGTGTTAGTAATATTATTTATTTATTATTGAAGCAATGAATTACGTAACATAAGGTTTGGTTCAACAAAAAAAAGAAAAACTTGTCTTCAAGCATTATAAAATCAATTATTTTGATTAAAAAATTACTGAACCGATTTTAATAGAATTTCTATGAGACCAATCTGAAAGTATATCCTTTCAGATAAAAAAAAAATAAACCAGTTTATAAATGGCGAAGATGTGAGATAACGAACATAATAAAAAATACAACTGAATGGAAAGCCCCCTTTTTCGAAATCAGTTGAAAAGGGTTTATCCCAAATAAATATAAATGAAGATATTCATAATCATAACTTTGTGTACACACTATCGCAGAGTGTGTACGAGGTTTGTCCGGAAAGTACGTATAAAAGTTTTTTAAAAATTTTATTTTACAATTATTCAGGTAAATCAATTTTATCCCCTTCAAAGTACTCCCCCTGTGACATAATGCACTTGTGCCAACGCCGTTTCCACTGTGAGAAGGCTCCTTGAAAGTCCTCTGGTTGTAGGTTTCTCAGCTGCCCCGTCGTAGCTTTTTTTATCTCATTTATGTCCCCCAAATGCCTCCCCCGAAGTACCAATTTGGTTTTTGGGAACAAGAAGAAGTCACACGGGGCCAAATCCGGCGAATAGGGGGGGTGTTCGGTCACCGTAATGGAATTTTTACTCAAAAACTCACGGACAACAAGAGAGGTGTGGGCAGGGGCATTGTCGTGGTGAAGAATCCAACGCCCCTCTCGCGCCAATTCTGGACGAACTCGTGCCACACGAGCTTTGAGGCGTCTGAGCACATCGACGTAGAATTTTCCATCAACTGTCTGGCCTGGAGGGACGAATTCTTGATGGACAATCCCCCGAACATCGAAAAAAACAATCAACATTGTCTTGACATTTGAGCGGGATTTTCTTGATTTTTTTGTTCGTGGTTCCCCGGATGTCTTCCACTCTTTGCTTTGGGATTTTACTGTTCTGAGATCGGCAAAAATTTCACGGCCATTCTTGCCGAGTTTCGAGAGAAACTTGATTACGACGCGCTGCTCTTCAACGGAAGCGGGCTCCATGCCGACGGGGTTTCGTTAAGAGGTAACTTCACAGATGGCGTGACAAGCCAGTTCGCACCGCACGGCGGTCAGACCAGAACTGAAGCATTGTTAGGGACATAAGGAAGGGGTCCTGCGCTTACCTGGCCTCCCCACTCCTCTTTCTCGCATTCCAGAACACTTTTATACGAACTTTCCGGACAGACCTCGTATTTATTTTCAATAGAACTAACACCGAATGGCATCAAAATATCACATGCACACTGTAACAGGATAGCAATAAAAAAATGCACAGAAAAAATGTAAACTCCGACTCCGAACAGCCTAAAACAATCAACACCCTCGATAAAACTGTACAGTTCTGGGAAACCGCCGCTAGAGAAATCATTGTGACTTTTTAAGTACCTGCTCGTTTCTCCCCATCCCTCCGTCTACCTGCTCGGCCCTGTTCGCCGTGCGATTTCGACTTAAAAACATTCAGTACAGTCAACACTCTGGTTAGGTTAACATCTGCCAAAGCTACCCCATATCGGCGTTTATCATATCAATAGCGGCGAATGCGATACACCAATGTCGTCCGCTATTCAGTCTGGTTTGCGCATGCGCGGGCACATAGTTATCACAATATAGTGCCACCATCCCGTGTATGGAGTACAGTAGTAGTGTTTTATCAGTTTTGAATTATTATGGTAAGTATCTTTTATCAATTGAAATATACACTTTTTTTACCGAATTTTTTTAGAATAATATGGCATTCCACAAGCTAAGGAATCTTGTAAACCCACCTAAAAATAAAATTGTGTACGTATAGTCGGTACATGTCTGTTGATATTTAAAATTATTAATAGTGTTCGCACTTTATAATATCGCCATGTGGTCGTAATGACTCTGAATTTTGTGTCGTTTAGCAGTTCCTTTATGGATAAATATAATTATTCTCATTATAAATTACTTCGCTTCTCTGTCGGCGCATGTGGTGTTTATTAACGTATTGATATGAAATTTAGAGGCTATTTCTTATATACCGAAATATTGTTATTTGAATTAGTAATACAATAATATAATTTAGAAAAAGTCCTGACAAAAAAGTAAATACAATTTTATTAAACTTTATTGTCGATTTATTCAGTTATAGCAAAACGAAAAAAGGCATTTTAGTGTTAAGAGTTTAGTAAGTATATAATTTACTTAAAAAGATCACGACCCATTTCTTGTATATATAAAACGTAGCTCTGTAACTTTTTTTAAATAAGTCGAACTTTACAATCCACATGATGGTCTACGAAATCACAGCACTATAAATGTTAAACTTTTGCGATACCAGAGACATCACACGCGCTTCTCTAACCTTTGTGATATAAATATTTTTATTTATATTATCAACAGTAAATTTAGGGACATATTTCTCTTTATAAACGCCAATCTAAGCTTATGTATTTGGCAGCGGAACTCGTCCCATGCGTATGGTTTTATACCTTATCTCCTTCTAATAATTTTTTACGTGTGTTTTTAAATAAGCCTGAAATGATGATAAAAACGAGAATTTAATTTAACAGTCTAAAAAAAAACATTAAAACATTCTTAAAAAAGGTATGCTTTTTCCCCACTACTGTATTTTTTTACACGCTAAATTTATTACGAGGGTCACTTTATAAAATTGAAAGTCATTTATTTAATAGTTTGATACTTCTTGGGGTCTTAACACCTCAATCAATGATTATCAAATTTAGCGTGTACGTTATGTAGTGAGAACTGAGAACGACATGAGCTTTTTTATCGTTATCAATGTCCCGCTCACTCGGACAGTCTCGGGCACAAATAAATTGTCCTAAAATTAATATAAAATTTAACAACAATATCACGTTGTTATCCTTAATTTTAATTAATTAGTAATTCGTTTGCGTGGTCCCGGCATAGAATACCACTCTTACCTTTCTCATGGGTGTCGTAAAAGGCGACGAAGAGAATTTAATAGACTAGGAATGGACAGCAGCATCCCTCTTTAAACATTATCAATGCCTAACTGCCGTTGCCAAGCCATCTGACAACCGTGGCAACTACTGTGAAGTCCCCAAGTGTGGACGCCTATATTCAGTAGTGGGCAATTAAGCGCTAATATGATGATGATGAATAACAAAGCAATGATAGTGAAAAGTAATTGAATTCTAAATGACGTTAATTTTAAATTTGTTGCTGATACATTTCCAGGCAACGATGGAGCCGAGTGTACCAGCCCATTCCCCGCACCCTGTACCTGGACGATCGTCGTGGGGTGGTCTAAACGTCGGCTATGAAATGCAACAGGACCCTAATAAGCCTGGGTATGTATTTATTACTACTACACACTACAGTACTACATTCATACAAGAATGTCGTCCTCTAGTTTGTGTCTGATTCAAAATGTTTTTATAAAATTACACTTTAAATTATTGTTTTATATTTTTTATCTTACATGTATGCAATGCGATAGTTATATAAATATTTGTATGCATCTGATTTTCAATGCGCTTGCAGCGAATTATAATTGTAAACCGCGTAACTTATTTAATACTAGTTGTTGTCCACGGCTTCACCCGCGTGTATTAGTGTATAATATAACCTGTGTGTTAGGATATAACCTACCTATGTACTAATTTTCATTCAATACCATCCAGCTGTTTAAGCGTGTTTTACGCATATAAAATATATTATAAAATGTTTTGTAGAATTACACACATAAACTATTATTTCATTGTTTCATATTATATTTTTAGACCCCCCCCCCCCCCCATGGGGGAGGCTTATATTCAGTAGTGAATGGTTAACGGCTGATATGAGGATGATCATTGTAATATATTTTTTATACCACTGAGGTGGCAAACAAGCATACGGCCCACATCTTAACATGCAATGCGATAATACAATTTTTTTATATGCGTCTGCTTTGCAATGAACTTACAGCGAATTATAATTTTAAAATGCGTGACTTATATGATACTATGTAGCTGTTTCCCGTGGCTTCACTTATGTATATCATTAGTATATAAAATATCCGGTATGTTAAGTTAGGATATAATTTACCCATGTATCAAATTTTATTCAAATCTATTCAGCCATTTAAGCACGATTGAGTAACAAATATTTAGATATTTGCTATATAAACCAATGCATGCATAAAAATGCATTTTTACCAAAGGGGGAGACTTTGTACAAGTTATCACCTCTCGTATTTCCGCCGTGAAGCGTCTATGCGCTTACATAATTATATGCAATACGTCATACGGAAGTATGATGGGTGAGAATATGGCACTGAAGTTACAGGGTACGGACGCATAGCATCCTAGTCCTCAGGAATGATATTGCTTGAAGCGTAACATGGGAGTCACAGTATATTTTGTGCTGTTCATGTCTATAGTTATTGGTTTATTTATGAATATTTTCCAAGAGGGCCAGGCTCCTTAAAGAGGGATATATGTACTCTGAGTCATGTTTTTGCGAAGTTTCGCTCGCACAATTAAATACGCCTGTGTCTGTAGGTGACGTAACCGTCAGCTTGTTTGTCATTCTAAATTGTATAAAAAATCCACTAAAACTCAAGCTGCTATATTTTTGTAGAATTACACTATAAATTATTGTTCCATATTATATTTTTTATCTCATGTTAGTATGCAATGCAAAATTTATACAAGCTTTTGTATGCGATTGATTTTCAATGAACTTGCAGCGAATTATAATTTTAAAACGCGTAACATTTGTAATACTAGTTGTTTTCCACGTCTTTATGTATTAGTATATAAAATATCCTATGTACTGGAATATATACAAAATACCCTATGTACAAAATTTCAAATCTATCCAGTCGTTTAAGCGTGTTTAAGTTACAAACATCTAAACATCTTTACAAACTTCTACACTTATTAGTAGCATTTATAATATATTGACACATTACAATGAAGGATGAGCAACAGTGTCCCTCTTAAAATATCTCTAAAGTCTGTCTGCGGTTGCCAAGCCGGACAATTACTGACAAACTCCCTCAATGGGGAGGCTTATGTTCAGCAGTGGACGGTAAATTCTAATTAGAAGTTTAATAGTTTAACAGAAAAGCAATAAAAAATCCAGAGCTATGAGACAATTTCTCAATTAAATTTTTGCTAGGTATTAAACAATCGCTCAAAGTAATCGCCGTGTGGTCCCGGCATAGAATGTCCACCCCTTCCTTTCCCTTAGCTGTCGTAAGAGGAGACTAAGAGAATTAAATGGTCGAGGAATGGACAGCAGCATCCCTCTTTAAGGCATCACAATATTCTACCTGCGGTTGTCAACACGTCTGCCAAGTGCAGCAACTACTGGCAAAACCCCCATATGGGGAAGGCCTATGTTTAGCAATGTACAATTAACGCCTGTTTAATAATAATAAATAGATAATAAACAGCGTTATTTCACGATTGTACGTGACAACATTAATTTGTTACTAACAAGGAAATAAACTCTAACGAATTCTAATAAAAAAAAATATTATCAAAATCAAGTCGGAATTAATTAATTAAGAAATTGCAAATGATAGAAATTACAGACGGATTTAGAATTCTGGATTAAAAAAGAGGGGATTTTTGAAATTGTTTAAATATATATTCTTCATACTAAACTCACGATCACACCAACAATATCAACATATGAGCGAAAAAAAAATTATTTAGCCTCATAAATATTATTGTTGATCTTCGGATTGCCATACATCGACATGTACATATTTATTCCCTTCATATATTAACAATTTTTTTTTTATTTTCAACAGAGTAAGCGGTGTGGCCGGTCCAAGTAAGGATGTAAACGTCGCAGTGTCAATGATACCCATGCCCCCAGCGACAATTCGAAACAAGAAACGCAACGCCATGGCCACGTCTGTGGTCGCTATGGCCAACAACCCTGCACCCTCCGCTATACGTAAGTACTGATCGTTGAGCCAAGTATTTATTCACTGCGAAATATCTGGAGAGTAATTCTCTATAATAGAAAATAGTTGCGGTAGCGGCAAGTTACACAATATTTGCTGATAGTCTTAATTGTTGTGATCAGCGGACGAACGTAGGTACTACCTCTACTAAGCTATTTAAGAACTGAAATTTCTATCGTGAAGTAGTCCTACATTTTGATATTAGGTCACAAATGACGTTGTTTGTAAAAAAGTACACTTAACCCCTCTAGTGATTAGGAAACAATCGTGCAGACATAATACCATTTTTTTTACAAGTAGTAATGGGTCCAGAAATGTTTGCGCTTTGCTGTTATAAAGATTTACCTTTCTGAATAAATGAAATCTGGCCTTCAAATAATGTCAAAATATAAAAAGTATCACATTTTCACTAGAAGTGAACTCGTGTTTCTACCGCAACACATTTTTATTTGCGTGGCCATATTTCGGTCAAAATGGTAATATATTTCAGTGAAATTATATAGATATAACACCACAGTCGCCAAGAATAGCAATATGTGAGGAGTACTGTGTTACTGAATAATCTGTGATGCCCTTGATGCTGTTTATGTCTACAGATTATGGTTACCATTTTAAGGTTTCACTTTATAAAACGACGTCTTTTTTTACCATTTCAATAACCTAAATTACATTAAAAAAAATAACATTCCAGAAACTGCTACAAATCAGAATCTAAGCAACGTGCGTCGCCCACCACAACCCACTCCACCGCCAATATATCAAGAAACAATTAAAGATTCTCCGCCGAGCTCGCCCAGTAAGTATTTTAATTGTTTATTAATCTATCGACACGTCAAACACTTAAATTCGCAACAAACTATAAATATGTGTAAATGAATAAGTTAATTATAAAAAAATTCACATTTGATAATTATTATGCGATATTTTACTATTTAACCCTTTGCTGACTGGAAATCTGTCATGGTTGAAATCTTTTGAATTAAACTAAAATTGTGATAAACACTTAATTACAAAAAAAAAGTATTTTTTAGTCCTGAACGCTTTGTAATCCAAACAGTCTTGCCCGTCATGGCAGGAGAACGAACCTACACGTTCAGTGTACGTTTAGTGCAATAAGAGTTTACTTGTCACCGGTCAACAATGTATTGATATGAAAAGACGAGATAATCACTGGTCAAAGAGTTAATATTAGTTTTAAGCAAAAAAATAACATATTAATCTTAAAAATTGCAAATAACTGTAAGTCTGTAAAAGTAAAAAAAAAAAATTGTAAAAATTTTTCAAAGTTAGTCATCATGACAAATAAATACCTGAGGGAGTAAACATTACTTAGCTGCAGAAAAAAATGAGATAAGATTGTATGCATTCCTTGTTACTTATCATTTGAACTGTGCTATACACGTTTGGGTAATTTTTATTTATTTGTTACAGGTTCTGAACGCCCATTAAAACCCAAAATGGAATCAAAGTGAGTCTTATTTTATTAAATATAATACCTATATAATTTTACTGCAGTTTTCAATAAACGTTTATTCATTTTTATATCTGGAAAATGAATGAGAAATCCTCAATTAGGTATTTTGTTTAAATATGTTAGATTTTTTTATATAAATATTAATAGATATTTAGTTAAAATCTAATGCTATAAACATTTATATATACCTATATTTTTATATGTAAAGAAAATGTTAATGCAATTAAATATTTTATAATTAGCTTTTAATCGCAGCTGTCTCCGTACATTAGTATATAAAGTATCTTATGTTTTTTTTTATACAACTTAGAATGGCAAACAAGCTGACGGTTCACCTGATGGAAAGTGGTAATCGTCGCCTATAGACATGAACAATACCATGAACATAACAGAGCGTACTATTTCACCCATGATGCCCCCCCCCCCCCCCCCCCCATGCGTTGCCATTCCTGAGGATTCAGGTGTTATTCCTCTGTACCCTGTAAATTTACGCCATATCCCACCCTTCAAACAGAAACAAAGCCATTCAAACACAACTGCTTCACGGTAGAAACACGAATGAGCCAGAGGTACCCAAGCAATTGACTTTTGTACAAAGTCTCCCTCTGGTCTTGGTTTTCACCAAGTGTGTCGCAGTGACCCAAATAGGCTACAGCTCAGTGATAGTTTTGCTTAAAATTAATTTTTGTGATTAATTAAATCTAAAGAATTTTTATTTCTACTAGACGTCGGTCACAGACGAACACATCAACATAGAGCGATGTGACCTAAATTGGTTTGAAGGGTGGGATACGGCGTCAATTTACTGGGTACGGAGGAGTAACACCTAAGTCCTCAGGAATGGCAACGCATGGCGAAACAGTATACTCTGTTATGTCCATGGTACTGCTCATGTCTATAGGCGATGGTTACCACTTTCCATCAGGTGGGTCGTCAACTTGTTTGCCATTCTAATTTGTATAAAAAAAAAACATATTTCCATACTTTATCTTTTGTTTTATATTAAAAAAAAAAGTGTAAATAATCTGATTGTATAAACTCCTTTGTTAATTTACGTGTGTCATAAATGGCTCAAATAAAGTGTTTATCTATCTATCTATCTAATCGTTTTGTTTAATTATCAGCAGGATAGGTGTGAGCTGCACTGCGCCGCATATGCTTGGCAACGAGTTGAATCCGGAGAGTGGCGCGGCGGCTCGCCTACAGGAACAGTTGAGCGCAGAGCTGGCGGCGCACGCGGCGGGCTCCGCTGGCGTCGACCCACTCGTGCCGCCGCCGCTCATCAACAAGGCCGCGCCAGTACGTACACTCCCAAACACTTAACACATTAAGTCGGGTGTCATAGTACTACGATTTATCTCGACTGTATTTTGATAAGTATACTCGTCATGGAGAAGTAGTAAAATCGCAACGTCACCTAACATACTTTCGTCAAAATCTCCTGTCTTTAATGTGTTAATAGAAGATATGTCCGCGGTTCTTCAAGACCAGACATGCACACGAAATGGTACCAATTATACTCAAAATCGACCTATATAAGTTTGCAGATAGGTATTATAAAATATATTACTATTTACAATACTATGTACACCATATTAGGTCCATATCATACACATTCGTAAATATTTTAAGAAATAGATTAGATACATAAAGTAAAATGTAGTTTTATGTTGCCATGTTTATATTTCAGTATTGATACAGAAATATAAACACAGCAACATAAAACTACACATACATAATTAGCAATAAGAAAACTTCAGGTTCTGGTTGCAATCGGTAGATCATCGGGTACGCAACTGTATAATGTAGAGATTGCGTGCCTGGCGATCGACCTCTAATCACCACACTCTGCAATGCACGGTCTGGGCGCACACAAATTAAAGGGTTGTCATAAATTAATTCAAGTTTAATGAATAATTTTCTCTTATTAGAGATAAGCTCGCCTTTGTACATTACATGAATTGTGATTAACAGTATGTTTTGTGTACAATAAAAAATAAAGAATTTTAATTGTAATCATACGACGAGTGGATTCATGCGAATGAGTGCTCGCACTGCAGTCTGTTGCTTGCATACCCTGACTGATTTAGTTCATAATAGAACACAAACCATATGTATACTTTTAGTAAATTCAATGTAGGTACAATTGTTATATATTTTTGTAACATTTTTTGTCTTTTTCTTTTGTAGGAAATTCTTAATACATAAGAATGTTAAATGTTGAATGTGAAAAGTTAAATACGTTTACATGTGGTTTTGTTCTGTACAAAAAAGAAACTTATAATCTATACATTTTGTACACAGAACTCCAGTAGCAGCTCAGGACGTGGCAGCTCATCGGGTGCACAAAGTCTCGACCAGCTACTTGAGAGGCAATGGGAGCAGGGCTCGCAATTTCTCATGGAGCAGGCCCAACACTTTGACAGTAAGTCCATTTTAATATAATAAATTTAAATGAAAATAATCATCTTAGCAGCATTTATAAACAGACTCTTAAATTTACATTCCCATATAAGTTACTCCTTTAAATGTCCCAGATTAAAATTAAAAGAAATAGTTGATGTCGTACAAATCTGTAATAATAAAGTTTTCAATTATTTTTTAATATATAATGGCAACCTAGCTGATGGCTCACCTGATGAAACCGTCGCCTATAGACATGTAGAGTGCCAAGGATATGATAATACAGTGTTATGCCCGCAGTACTACTGGTGAAGCCTATGGTGTTATACTTCCATACTCTGTTTCTACATATTCTACGTTTTTTTTATACCATGTAGGTAGCAAAGAAGCATATATCCCAATTGTAAACGGTCACTACAGCCTGTGGTCGCCTGCAACACTAGGAGTGTTAGCCCTGAAGAAACCTTAATATGCCCTTTTTGAAGAACCTCAAGCCTGTAGTCTCTAGGAAAATCCTCAACAGGGAGCTTATTCCACATCCTGAGCGTTTGCGGGAGAAAATTCCTCTGAAACCGCTCTATACGTGACCATTTAGGTTCAAGCGTGTGAAGATTAATTCTCTGTCAATGGTGAGCGGTATGATAATAAAATGGGCATAATTTCAAACTATTTCTCAAAACAAAATCCGTTAACCAAGAGATAGAACAACTTTTAAAAAAAAAAACTTTTTTCAGTTGCGTCCTTACTGTCGTGTTTACACCAACTGCGCACGGAGAATGTTCGATTAGAGGAGCATGTGGGCAACTTGTTGCAGAGGCGCGACCACTTGCTCGCGGTCAATGCGCGCCTCGCTATACCGCTCACGACCGGTAAGTAAAATATTAAAGTGGAATATTAAAACGAGTTCAAGGTATAGATTTAGCGAACAAGCAATATTCGGCATAGTGGTATATATAAAACAGCGCCTCGTTTCCCATATGGCTACAAATTCTATTCTCGCACAATGCAAACGTTTGTGTATGATAATGAATATGTTTTTATTTGTTTTGGTGTCTATTCTATACACAATATATTATGTATGTGTTTAAAAAAAATATTTAAGTGTTTTGTCAGTTAGTTTTCATTTTTCTCTCTTTGCTATTATCCCTTAATTTCTATTGTATATGTGCGTTTATTTATTATATATGTATAAATTTATATTTAATGGTTTCTGAAAGAGATTATACTTAGTGATATGTTTGCCTTTTGTATTATTTTACCTTTATTATTTACTATACTTCTTTTTTTGTGATGTCAATCAGTTGCACCAGTCACAGAAATATATTTATACTTATAAATGAATATAAAAATAATAGACTATTGCAATATTTATTAATTATTGAGAAAGTAGCTAGCTGATAATCGTGTTTTGTCGGCCAGTGTCCGCTGGACCGCCGGAGCCAAGTCGGTGTACGCGCGAGAACAGTTCGCAGGTCCGCCCGCCGCCACCACCCGTACGTACCTCGGAGACCATCACGTCCGAGCGATCGCACCAGGTACCTATTTATATACCACTTACACTCAGCAGCGTAGCTGACGGTCCACAGGTCCTGAGCTTGGGGGAAGAGGCACTAGTGTTTCTCAGACCCCTATACTGGGGATAGGAACTCTCTACTGTTATTCCTAAATTTCCCCACTAGTAGCCCTGGGGTTCTTCATTAGTACTCTTGGATTTTCCTATTAGTAGACCTGGAGTCTCTCACTAGTGCTCCTGGGGTTCCCATTAGAATTTTTAACTATAGTATTACTCCATGGTACTAAATTAAAAGCCCAAAATATTAGATATAATCTTTGAAGAACTCACACCTAGCCTTTGGAGAAATTTCTCTATATTATAATCCAAATTTTTCAACGACATTATCCATCTTAATAATTTATTTGCATAGCAGTTAGTTTTAATGACTTACTGGGGAGTTGGATATATTTATATTTTTACGGGGGCATTACAAGCAGCCAGTACTTACACTGTTTGTTTGTAGACCATTATAATTTGAAGTTGTATGAAATTATAAATTAGAAGTGTCACATTAAAGTTCTTTTTTTTTATTAAGAACTTAATTGACTTGGATTTGGTAACAGAAACGTTATATCCTGTAATGTTCATAGTAATATTAATTTATAAATAGAACAATTGTTAGTATTTTTTTTTTTTTATATAGTACTCTGTTAATCAAGTGTATATTTGCAGCTTATAATGCGAGAAGTGCAACAGAAGCCCAGCTGAAAGGAGCCGGGTGGCGGAGGCGGCTCGCCGCCAGCTCCGGGGCCCTCGGGCGCGGAACCCGAGGCGCTCCGCACCGTACAAACGTACATAATGCTCGAGCAACGGCGCAGGGCCGACTTCTCCATCGACTCAATACTAAAATTCGATCACTAGACACACGGACTCGACGGCCTAAAAGCAGCTAGATTCTACAGAAAACTAATAACGAGCACAGCGGATTCACAAGGTGGAATTAGACTAATAACATAGAAGCAGGTAACATTTGAAAATTTTTCATAGATGTATTTCGAACAACGAAATAATTCTAGTAGTTTACACTGAACAACATTTCGATAAGTAAAGAAGGAACAAGTCTGTTCGCTTAGTCTAATTTCATCTTTTTTAATAAAACGCGGTATGTATTGTACCATTCTACAGCTGGGAGTATTGTTGCACTGCATTATAGATATTCATACAATAATATTGAAATTTATACATGCTTATATTGAAATAAGGCTCTGTAAGGGACGTAGTATGAAAATATATATTTTTTAACCGTGACTTTACAGTTTAGAATGTAATTAACTGACTCAATTTGAAACAATTTACTATTTTAATAATAATTATTTATGACATGTCTACATTGTAATTAATATGTTTATTTACACAACACACACTCTACTAATCAAGAATAATTTGATGATGAAATGACAAATCTATATGAAAAACTAATAACCTACTTTATTAAAGTCGGTTAATTATGTTAATAAGTAAAGGGGTTTAGATTTAAACTTGATAATTATGAGAGTTGTATCTTTAAAATATTTATATATTCTGTATTTTCAAACCATGTCCCTTCTGAGGCAACTAACGTCAAGTTTTTTTTCTAAATTTCTTTCTACTTCTAATTCTAATCAAATGAAGACTTCGATACATTTAAATCTCAGTTTGATAATTCGTATGAACATCTATGATGTGGTAAAATTAGATATAAAATTATTTTACACAGACGACCATGCTTCCAAAACTATTTTTGGACATCAATTTCATGATTTTTATGTACTTGGACACAAATGTTGTATATTTTTTGGCTATATCTCTAAATTTTATATTACTCTTTTATATCAACAACTTTTATACTTGACCCTACTTCTAAAATGGTTATAAATTTGTATCCGAGAGCAAAATATTGCCTTTATTGCTATTCGAAAAAACAATCCACAACTGGTAAAGTTCTGATAGTTATGTGAGCTGAGCTCCAAGCATATATAGTAACATGAATGCTTATTGTAACTATTTGAGGTTTAGCCTAAGACATAAAGAAATACTCAAATATTCCGGGTACAGAGATAATATAGGTATATAAATGTAGGTAACAATATATACTTATATTAATTCTGTTATATAGGCTCTTAAATGGCGGTTATGGAACTAATAAGTATATTAAAAATGTCTCTGCTTTCGGATAGTAAAAGCTATTCGGATCGTGTTCTATCTTGAAAACCCATTAGAATGGATTTGTTAGCAATCAATAGCAATATTAGAAAAAAGAACGACAATTACGGAAACCGCTACGGTATTGGAGCTTGAGAGAGTTTCGGTGGTGAAAGCTCTAAAACACTAAATAGAGAAATAATAAGAGGTTGCTGATTCTTTTACGCCCCCAAAAGAACTAAACTGCCATATCTAGTTCTCTCCACATTATATTATTTAATTTTTAAAAGCCTTCACGACTAAATGTGGCAATGTCTGAGTTTTTTATCAATTTTCAAAAACATGCGAATTTCCAATTTTTGATTGATTATTTATAAAAGCGAGTTAAAACTTTAATCATAGAAAATATATACAAATAAACATGTTGCATTAAACATTTTACACCTATTAAATATTTGGCTTCTGAAAGTCTTTGAATACATTTATGACATCAAAATCCAAATTTGTGATCATTATTATATTTTAATTCGCTATTAGAGTACGTTTTAAATAATAGTCAATTAAAATAATTGAATTATTTTTTATTGTTTGAAAATGGAGATATATAAATCCAATATTGCCATATTTTGATATATATATATATATATATATATATATATATATATTCTTAAAGCGTAACCATTTATAGTCATATACGTTTATTACTAGTAAAATTTTTTATAGTATGAGTAATACACTTAAATGGGCAAAAAAGATCTTTACAAATAAAAATATTAAACTTTTAACTAGTCATTTGCCATGTTTACCTACTGCATCATTACTGTGCAATTGATTTAATAAAAATAATAAATTCCTAAGACAAACCAAGACATTAATTTGATGTGTATATATTTGTAGCAATGTATCATCTCGTGATTAATAGACGCACTCAACCGGCTGCTTATTTTATATTTTGTTGTTATCAATAGTTTAAATTTAAATTACTTTTAAAGTAAATCGATGTACACTATTTATTACTATTTATTTAATACTGATTTAGATGACATCTTATAGGAATGATAGAAATAATTATTTTATTTTTACTACAGTTATTAATATAAGTCAGAAAGTAGCATCACAGTCGCGTGAACTTCCAGTTCGTTACAAGAATTGTTTACAATAGTAAACAAATGATTAATTTATCAGATTGATTTATAGCCAAAATCTCGTTTTAGATATTATTTAATACCCCTGACACAAATTGCCTCGTGCAAAGGCCTAAAGAATGTTAGAAGACAAAACTGTCTTCAGATACATATAACACATCTCGCCCCCTTCTATTCTGTATTTTTTTCTGTCTAGCTTATCCATTCTCCTCCATTTCCACATTGTACACATATAAATTTTTTAAATGGAATATCTTCGCTTTGAGGTTCTATGAATTTAATTGTTCTCAGTAAAATATGAATTTGATATGTTGAAATTTGAAAAAAAGTAACAAACATATGTTAGGCTGGCTCTACTTACATTCTTGCATTTTATTTTTAATAATTTAAATTCATTGCTCTTACCTAACCCTTTATTTTTTATATTTTTTATAATTAAAAAAAAATCTGTATATTAAGCAACCTTGAAAGTGACTAAATTTATTTTATCCCTTGACCACGGAATTAATTTTATTACTAAAATAAGAAAGTTTTCTTAAAGAACCGTTTCGATTGCATGTTCCCTTTTAGTTGTAACCGAGTAGTCAAAATACACTTATCAACAACAAAATGTTCGTATTAGTGTTTGTAATGATATTGAATGTTGTTACTATTATAATCTGTGGGCTATTTAACTTTTACATGGGTGTTCAATGTTATTTCAATGTGTTATAATTTATATTTACCCTAATTAAGAGGTAATTACACTAGTGCGCTTTCAAATTATGTAAAGGCTATTGAGTTCAGGCATGCTTTCAATGCATACAACACTTGCATACTACGATATGGTAAAAAAGCATGATTATAGTGTGGTTATGCATTGCAAACGTTGAAAAGGATTACAAATGCATTTTAGTCTTTAATGCATGCACTCTTAGTATCGCGCATCTTGTGTCCACAGCGTATACACTTCGTAAGATGAAAGGGTACCAGTGTGCGTTCACACACGAGTCACAGCATGGCTTATCCGTACAGAATATAAGTAGCGTCCCGTAGTACGAGAACCATGTCTTTTACTACGCGATTAATGCTGCATTCTATACAATTATATATATACTATAACTCGTGTACGAAGGCACTTAATATAATATTAAAATGGCATGTTGGGTTTCTTCCAAGCTGTCATCTTAGAAGGAGCTCACCATGGTACTGAAACGATCCAATGTATCGTGTAAATTTGTAATACTTAATACCTGCTATTGACATCACCACATTTGCATAATTTATATTTAAGTCATATTTATTAACTTTAAATAGATATATTTATTGATTATATTACTTTACACGTGTTATCACATTAGTGTTCTAAAAGGAGTTTGATTAATTTACAGCAAATTTGTTTTTTTTTATACATTTGACAACCATACCTAATAAGTGTTATAATTTAATCTAGACATGTTGTAACTAATAAAGAGGTAATGAGCGTATATCCGACCACTTTAATTTAGATTACTAAAATTACATATGACAATTAATCAATAAAATAAGCAAATGAACTCGGAAAAAAATAATCGAGTGAAAAAAAAAACAAGATTTCAATATTGTAATCATATTTTAAATTCGGAATTAATAATTGCCAAATAATTATGACAGAATAATATGCATCACCATAAATTTGAATTTATGATTTTATTGTCTCATATTCTATAGTATTTATAGAATGAGATCAAAGCTATTAGTGGTATTTAAAACTAACAATGCTACTCTATGATTGATAGTAATTAACTAGTCAAATAAAATAAGTCACTTTAAATCCTTAATAAACATAAAAATTACAAATTATTATAAATACATTGAACAAAGCCTGTTTATCTGAAGTTGTTAATTAATATTCAATTATTTTGTATTTACACACAGCATACATCCATCGTTTTTGCTATATTACAAACAACTGTATACAATACCTCCCATATCGCGGTGATTTAGAAAAATCTATGACTACTTCAGTAAATAAAATAATTTATTTAAATAATTTAATAAGCATCACATATAAGTAATCTTATATATAAAATTCTCGTGTCACGGTGTTTGTTATCAAACTCCTCCGAAACGGCTTTACTGATTTTTATGAAATTTTGTGTGCATATTGGGTAGGTCTGAGAATCGGCCAACATCTATTTTTCATACCCCTCAATGATAAGGGTGACCCTCCCCAAAAAATTTTTTTTTAAATTTTTGACAAATTTTACCATTTTTATTTTATTATGATTTAGCATTGAAAAATACATACAACCTCAAATTTTCACCGTTTTACGATCAACTCCTGTTTTTTAATCGCGATTTTTATATGCTGCAATAGGGTTGCAAGATGGCAATCCAATATAATAACTGTAGCAGGATAAATTTTCATGTAACTTTTAAATTCAAATTTTTAGAACTACTAAAAATAATGTATATGGTAAAACAACGTTTGCCGAGTCAGCTAGTTTTTATATATATTTCAGACTTAGATGAATATGTTTAAAAAACCCATTAGTTTATTTACAAAATATAAAGGAGTATAAGACTGGCCATAAAATAAAATAAAAAAAACTTTGACCAGGTATGAATTCAATGTGCAATTAAATTGGTATTATTTTAAACAGGCCTTGTTTGTGTAAAAATGAATTTGATAATGAACGATATAATGTGGATTAATGATTAATCCGCTAAATATTTTTCGTTGTTTAGATATATCTGTATATATTATTTTCTTCTAAATTTGCCACGTTTACTACACGTGAATTGTCTTCGTGTCGACTGTTTATTGTTATGCTGATAACCATTTAAACTATATTTTATTATTCCCTGAAAGCTAGCATAATAGCGGCGGGAATTGCCTGCTAATGTAACTTTTATCATAATATATTTACAGTCACAATTTTTCCCTAGTTGTAAATACCAGTGATGACTTTATTTTCATCATAAATCATATTTAAAAACCTTTACAATTTGTTTTAAGCACATACGTTTTGAACTTGTAGGTATTACACTTTTACATTGTAGTACTTACACAGGGTATCGTGAATGCAATATTTTAAAAACATCAACAATTTTTTCTAACTTATACACTTAGTAAGTTTATAATTTATACAACTAGATTTTTTTTTGTGTAAATATTGTTTCAAAACTATATTCTACTATCTGTAGTATTGTGTTTAGGTTTAATTTAAGCTTGACTCGTATTTTACATACGTACACATATACATTTTCCTTTATTTTAAATAACCAACAGACATTCAATCACCAAAGTTGGACCAATAATATATCATTGGCATGAAATCATTCATCACAATTTCTAATATGTTTATAGACGAAATTAAATATGGATTCAGCGCCGCGCATTAAACAATTATACATATAATGCACAATTATGTATATTAGACTTTAAATAACTTTTATTATAATATGGTCGTAATATAACATTGGCGAGCTGTCTCTTTTTGCATGCTTAACTTGTAATAACTCGAAATTCTATTTTTGTTTCGTCTATGAACGTCATTATCATCCAGACATAACAATTATGACGATAATGATGTGTTGTGTTATTTTTTAACGATATTTGACTTAGATATGCACAAAATAAATTTATTTTTAGTTTGTAACTTTTAAGTCCAATCCAGTAATTCTATTCTTAAGATCTGTATTTACTTCTTTTTTTTTTATTTAGTCGTGACATAAATGAAATATTGTGTTCGGAAACGGAATTTTTGTTTAATACTTATAATAATTGGTCATATTATTCTTTATTTGTTAATAAATGTAATTTAAGTTTTACTTTATAAGTACGAAAGATTAATTTACATGTATCGCCAGTTATACCAATATGTTTTTAATATCACCCAAGTGCATGTTATAAAAGTATACGTTACAAAATAGATGGGCGGCTATAGATTAACAAACATCTAACGTTGTAATACACTTTTGTTAAATTTGCAGAAAAATTAATTGATATACAAATAATAACCCAGTGGTGCACTGGATTAGGTTTGTACATTACAACGATAAAAAAAAATAGAAAATAGTTCGTATTCAAGCGAATGTTTTCCTCATTTCTAACAACGTTTGTAGTCAAATGTGACTCATGTGTTGCCCTATGGTAGTAATATATTTCTTCAATTTAAATCCGGAACAGTTTTAAGTGTAACTTTTGTATGAGATTGTGAGTTCTTTTTTACAAGTATCAATGTATTCATTTAAAATGAAGCATTCCGGCATTACCTTCTCGTATAAACAACAATCATCTGTCACGGATACATGGTATAACTGGCATTTTATGTTATATAACCACTATTTATTTTAGTGGTAAAACTCTATTTCCATTTTTTTTTATCACTTTCATTTTTACGTTTAGTTTCATAGGGTTTATTATTTGTATTTTTATTTCTTTGAGCCGAGTGGTCAGTTCAACTGAATGCGCAATGAATCGGTGTTTAGATAATTTAATCATAGTCTAATTTAAGGCCAATGTAAACTTCTAAGGAAGTGATCTCAGTCGATTGTACTGATTTGTAACGTGGTCAAACGAACCAATTTTTAGTGAAGTAAACCATTGTATATGTATTTGACGGCTGAATGTGGCCAGCTCTTGTGTGATTCTCGATTTAGTGTTGCCGAATAATCGATTATCAATTAATCGAGTATATTGGTATTGTTGATTAAATCAAAAATTTCGATATGAAGTACTGATACTAAAGATCAATCGATACTATTAATCGAACTATCGATTAGTAATCGTTACTAATCTATTAATAGGCAACACTAAATTTCTTAGCTGCAGCTTCTAAAGCGACACTCGAGCTGGCTACCCTTTTATTCAAATATAAGAAAAACCACAGAAACTGAACACGGTACTGTAAGAGAGCGCCTAAATTGTACAAATTAATTTGTATTTTTAAAACTTAATTGTAATTTATATCGTCTGTGATCCAAATACTACCGGTTGTCCTGTCTGTTAATTTTTTATCTACTTTGACTACATCGTAGATACCGCAATTTTTACTTTATACGTCTAATTTTTATACGTCTATTAAATTAACATCTGTGGAACTGTTTTACTAACGATATACATTTTATTTCGACGTTAACACTAAAATATGATTCGACAGTTTTAACTGTGTACTTTTAAAGTATTTAATATATACATTTTTGTCATTTTAAAATCGACGCTTACAAATAAATACATTAGACACTGCACTAGATTAACCTATATCGCTGGATATATCTAATCTCTAAGTGAATTTGTATTTTATAAATACAAATTTAACATTAAATTTTGTTCTAAAATATTATCTGGATATGCGACTAAATTATGCAATAATCATCATTACCATATCAACCGTCAACTCTCCATTGCTGAAAATAGGCCCCTTGAAGAGTTTTGGAGAGCCATCGTATAGAAAGTATAGAATTGGCCACCCGTTCTTTTCTAGTTGGTGTCGTAGATTATGTAAATAGAGTACTAAATATTCTTATTTGAAACCAGCAAAACTCAGTTTCTAACGACTTGTCATTTAATAGCTATCAACAACAACCATTAGCACTATCAAATAATACATCATTTAAGTAGTTACAAGCGAAATTATACAATTCTTAATTAAAACTGTCGAATGTTATACAAATAATCAGTTTAAATCTATTTCAATTTGTCATATTTAAAGTTTACATGTAGATTGTCACATTGATTACAACTGTAACAGCCAGCAAATGCCTCTAACTACCCAATTAGAGATTATAGTTATAAACATATTTTGTTTAAATTAATATTGTTAATAACTCTTATATAATCCAGTCACAGGTGATCAATTTGCTGGTATATTTAACCGCCCTCTTACAGTAAGTGATAAATTTGTGAACTAAAATAACTGAAGACATGAATGGATGGAGATGTTAGAAGGTGCTATGTGTATACTAACATAACTTATATAACGATTACTGTAACATAGTTGTTAATATGCATATAGCACCATATAATTGTAAAAATCCGAAAATGCGACCTCATACATTCATGTCTTTAATTATATCTGTAAAAGAGCCAATAAGGTCAGTTCTGAAGCGTCCTTTTTTTATCTCTAAACAATTTTAGTTTAAAAATGCAGCGAAATTTTACTTACAATGACCACAATGAATGAAGTTTATAATAGACTAGCTTTTGTCCGCTACTTCATACTTCGGAAATAGGAGAAACAATTAAATAAACTTTCTTCTAGATAAAATATACACCACATTTTGAGTCTGACCTTCAGAAATACAACTACTAACGCCACATCAAATTTCCTGCAATCTTTTTTTCGTGAACCGTAATAATGTACAAAGTTTTAAAAAAATATATTGTTTCGGTTTCTTTTGCTCTTTAAACCACATTCTACAATTTTTCTATAAAAGATTTCCGTGTACCATCATTGTCATCGATTAAATGATTCGGAATTACGTTAATTTCAGCTCTTTATGGCCCATACTGTAATAGTAATTGTAAATTTAGACATAAATGTAGGGCATGGAAGAGATAGGTTTTGCCACAAAATCAGTCCCAACGAGGTCAATTCTGTAACGTCATTTGCCTATATCTATTTTTTAATATTTCGTCTTTAATCTATTAGAAATTTAATTCACACTGGTTCTTATAATTAATTATTTCGTTGTTATTAATTTAACATTAAGTTTAGAGTAACAGCGCCTTAGAACCGACTCTATTGTCTCACTGTCGATATAGTAAACTGTCCTAAATACCAATTTTGTCATAACGATGCATTTAACATTAAGTAATGATAAATTGAGTATCTTCAGCTGTCACCAAACATACTAGTTGATTAAATAATTTTTTCGGGGATTTTATGTTTTTAATTTATCTGCCCAACACGTTAGCTATCTAGAGTAATAGAACCAAAAATTAAACGACTCCCAGTAGTCGAACAAACATTGAGAAAATTAAAAATAATAAGATTTACATGTTAGTTAAACGAGTGTGTTGTATTTTTCCATAAGCAGCAACGTTTCCTTTACCCGCTTGATATTAAGAAAAATACAAGTAGAGCACATACAATATTATAATTTGCACAAAAAATTCAAGTAGTACAAACGATGAGTGACTGTTTGTGCCAAAAATGTTTTTAATATGGAAGGCTACTTAATTTCATACTTTCTAAAATTACTTTGGCCATCTCACTCCAATTGGAATTTTACTGAAGGAAAGCTACGGGTATATTAGAATCATTTTTCAATAAGAAAAATTATGATATAAATATCAATGGTGAATATATCACTCACTTTCAATTTGCCAATAATTATCATGGTGGTATCTCTGGAGAACTAGAACACTATGCTGAATGTTCTCAATAGTTCTTCTCCATAGGAAGGTCTTAAAATAAACATGTACAAAAATAAAATCACGTCTGACATCCTTGCCACACCTATACCAGTTATCAAGAATACTACGCTTAAAGTTTTTGACGAGAACGTATACCGGGGCAACTTGCAGGCTCTGTAAATCCAACTACGATCGACGAATCCAAAATATCTCAGAGTTAGAAGATGAAGGATTTTAGTCAGTGCATATGGAGAACGACGACCTACGGAGCCGAAGCATGGGAATCATAGCGAGTTATAGAGAGAACTATGCTCAGAGTTTAGATACGTGATACAATACAGAATGAGGACTTTCATAGAAGAACTAATGAGATCGCCATAGCCCAAAGAATAAGCAAGCAGAAATGGCAATGGGCTGGTCACGTAGCTCGAAAAACCGACAACCGATGAGAAAAAAAGTTCTTGAGTGGCGGCCCCTTACAGGCAAACGCAGTGTAGGACGACCCTCCCCCCACGGAGTGACGATCTTAAATACACTGCAGGAAGGAAATGCTTTGCTGCAATTTTATAAATTGCATAAAATATCCCGTCTTAGGATTTATTAGGATATAACTTACCTGTGTACCAAATTTCATTCGTTAGACTGTTTAAGCGTGGATGAGTAAAAAACGTACGTATCTTTACAAACTTTTATATTTACGATATTAGAACTTTCAATTGATTATTTTCAAATTAGGTTTGGGCGATCTGCATAAAAATTTGTGTACATACAAATTTTATCACGATGAATATTGTTGTGTTATCCACTTGGATAGCCCAAAAATAACCATATAGTGATGATTGAACACAAAAATAATCATCAATAGATTGCAGCGTATGAAAGTATTAATTTGCTATCTTCTATACGCTCCAAGCGATCACTCAACAAAACAAAATGTGACTTACTATTTTCAAACATCAGTAATCGTCACAAATAGTGTGATCAGATGATAATTATTGGTTGTACAGAGATAATAAAATACATACACAGCAGAGGGCAATATCCAATCATAAAGAGTTTTACTCTAAAGTTATATCGAAATGTTGAATCCTTCAACAGACTTCAAAAACGATGTTCTCGTTTCGACCGTATTTTGTGTATACTAACAGAGGAATAACACCTAAGGCCTCAGGAATGGCAACGCATGGGAAGTATCGTGGGCGAAACAGTATACTCTGTTATGTCCATGGTACTGCCTATATCATGTCTACGAGTATAGGCGACGGTTACCACTTTCCATCAGGTGGGCCGTCAGCTGGTTTGCCATTCAAAGCTGTATATAAGAAAAAAAACAACGAATCAGTAATATATCCTATATATGTAAAGGTAACAAGCCCATGTATCAAATTTAATTCAAATACGCGTAATAATTTTGCACGAAAGAGTAAAAAACATATATTCAACCATTGTTATCAACTTTAATATTTATTACATTAAGCAGCTGTGTTACCGAGTTTCACCGGCATGAATAGGTGCATACATGCCTATGTGTTAAATTAGGATCTAACCTACTGATGTACCAAATTTTATTCTAATTTAACATTTAAAAGTAACAAGCATCCATCCGTCTGTGTTGGCAAATTTTCGCATTTATAATATTAATATTATTACGCGTCATCTTCACCAATTGCGTATCAATTATGTGTGTGTTTAGATGTTTTTTAGCAATTTACTTGATTTACTCCCACGTTAATTCCATATTAATTTTATCAAGGTTGAATGAAAATCTTTCATTTTTTTGTGGAAATTATTAATTGCAACATGTATTTTTATATTTCTATTACTATTTATTACCTGTGTCTTAGTCAATCGTTTGGATCGCCTAATTGAATTAACCAATCGTCATACAATTTGGTATTCCTACACGTAGAAGGTATTTAGAATGGACAAGGTTACAGGTTACTTTTCACTGTCGTCAGTTGATATGACCCTCACGGCGCACTCAGACGAAGTAGTGGGTAAAAGCTAATTTTTTTATGACACTTACAATAGCAAAGAACCCAACAAAGCAACAAGCTGATAATCCACCTGATGAAAACTAGTAACGGGTACCCATAGACATGAACAGCACTACGTATACAAGCGCGGATCTACCATTGTGAATACAATAGGCATACCCACAACCCTAATAGACCAGAGAAATGGGATTGTTAATATTTGGGTGTACCAGCCTTATTGCTAGCAATTAACCCTATTAGGTCGACCTCCACGTGGTTCCTCCTGAAAATCGTCGTGGATAATTCTTGCGGAATTCGTCATGATGGGCTAATTGTACTGCTTTCATCTTCATCTATCATCTCGCCAGCGTGTACTGATAACACAGTTAGGGTTACCATTTGATTCTTGTCCTTTAAGAAACCGTCAGAAACTTGCAATGATGACATTTCTATGAACTATTGAGATCGATAGGCTGATAATATTATTTCAAATGCCTTTATTCTTTTAATATTTTTGTGAACAAGCGAAGTAACTTTTTTACTCGTTTATTAATTTCCCAACGGCTTTGATCCCGTGAAAATATATACAGAACTTGGTCAGGGCATCATATATTTTGTAAACATCTTTGTATCGATCATAAGCCAGTTTGGGAAAGGAATTGTTACTAATGAATACTAAGAATCGACCTCCTCGCAGTTCCCCCTGGAACTATCATGATTAATTCCAGATGAATTCATCATGATTGGCTAACTGGCCTGTTTTCATCCTCACCGATCATCCTTCACTGGTGCCCCGCCAACGTATCCCGTTAGCGCAGGCGGGGTTACCATTCCATTTTCATCCAAATAAAATAAAAATCCGACTCGCAATTATCCGATTTTCGGGTGGGTATGATCACAACCTTTGAGTCTATGTGGGCACAAACTGCACTGTTGTATTCATAATACTCTAATAATAATCAATCTTATAATATTATAAAGGCACCACCCACATACAAAAATAGCATACATTTTTGTTTGTCATATGAAATCCTTCGTTCCAAATTCGTAATTTGATGCGTGTTTGCAACACAACACAAAGTTCAAGCGCTGGATTATTAGTGTTATCACACATTATCTATAAAGTCCGTATTGAGTTTTATTTTGTAATAATTTACCACAAATATTTATATATCACCATTTTTTAATCACAATCAATCATTTGATAATTTAAAAACATTATCCACGTATGTAATATACAAGGTACAGTCGGCATAGAATAACTTCAAACAAATATGTAGTTGAAAGAATTTTAAATCTGTCAATGGCTATATGTAGAGAAAGTGATGCAAGTTGATATGGCATTTTGTTTTAAGGACCTTTTTAAACTACCACTAATAAAGCAATATTTATTCTTAATTATATCAAACAAGAGTGGCAAAATGCAAACGTCTTATAAAATGTATCTAAAGCATATTTCCTTTATTAAGATAGGATGAAGAGTTACATACATGCGTGGAGATATGTGATAACAAAAGCGTACGCAAGCAGTTTACCCACGCTGTAAGCGTGGTAATGCTTGCCCTGCTTGTCTGAAAGCAAGAAAGCAAGAAGCTCCGTCCTAGCAAGTCAACGCAGTATCCGCATAGTTTCATGTAGACGATATAAGAAACGCACATAGTTTTATTCTCAACTCACTGAGATATGGTTTTATCAACTGACTTCAAAAAAGGAGATTCTCAATTCGGTTGTATTTATTTAACGTTTGTTACCTCATAACTTCATCAGCGTAAATCGATTTGGAAAATTCTTTTTTTATCTGAAAGTATATATGTAAGTATATATGTAAGCGACTAGTTTTACCACAATTATGGTCGATTTTCTTTTTGTAAAACAACAATTTAATTATTTCATACAAAAGTTTATGTTTATAAAAACGGTTACGGGTTGCCTCTACTACTTGTTTTTCCAAATTTAAATTGGACTCAAAAACTTACCCTTCCAGTAAGATAACTATCAATAAACATAACTGATGAAATGTATTGCATAATACTATTTACCTGTTTTCTTTTGCCAAGAAAGATTATTTATTATTATTATTTATTTCGATTAGTTTGGGTTTACAAGAAAGTTTTTATTTGATATTCATTAATTCCCTCCAAATACTGTTTTAACTTTCCAATTATGTTCATTGTATTATTTGGGTGACAGTGAATGTATAATTGCATGTCATCATGTCGAATAAAATTTACAATGTTTCAAGCTATCAACAATATCCGTGGTAAAATAAAAGTGGAGAATAAAGAGTACAGGTTTAAGGATCGATCGTCACTTGGCAATAAACAACAATTATGATTATATTTGTTTTTATGTGCCGCGTGATCCCAGCACAGAGTAGATCACCGATTTCTTTCCTATGGGAGTCATAAGAGGCAACTAAGGTAATTTAATGATCGAGGGAGGGGAGCAGCATCCTTTTTAAAACATCACCAAAGCGTAACTGCGGTTGCCAACCCGCCGGTCAAGTGTGATATGTACTGAATAAACCCCCCTAATGGGGGAGGCTTA